CTATTTTTATTAGAATTATATATTTTTATAACAATTTTAATAACTACCAACATTTATTCACAACGTAAAATAAAACAACAAATTATTGAGTCTACCCCACGTCTACCCTACATCATAGTTTTACATTTTTTAAATAAAATTAGAACGACACTGATAAACCGGAATTTAAGTCGGCCATATTTGAGGCCCATCGCGGTGTACCTAAGATTTTTGATATGCTCCTTCCTTAGTCTTCTTATTCAAAGAAAATTATATGGGAAATGTCATCGATCGTCATTTCCAAGCCAACTGGATGCCGTTTTTTTTCGATCATACGGTACTTTTTGTATCCAGGCAGACAATCTTTGGCCAGGCTGTACGTTTGACATTACAGGCGAGGCACAAAAAGTAATTTTTACTCCATTTCTTGGAGTAATAAAACTAAAATAATAAATCAAAAAAAGTATTCCATCCTAACCAAATCACTAATTACTTTAGAGGAAAAAAAACGTGTTTAACTTAAAAACTACGCCATTTTACTGATTATGTACAGTTTAAAAGGCCATAAAACCTTTTTTTCTAGTTTCTGGGTTCAAAAAACAAGAAGGTCATTAATTTGGCGTTCACTGAAAGGTTAGGAAGAGGCAAGGGGGGCAGCTTTTAAGTGGCCCACTTTAAATTTACGAACTAGACAAAATTTCAATAAAATACCGATAAATACGTCAAGTAGTTCTCAATAACTATACGCGTTTTAATGGTGAAATTTATGAGCGACCTCTATAGGCGACTTGACAAACAATTTATTAACCCACTAACATTACTTATTTTTCAAAGATTTAATTCTCCGTAAAGTCTCGCCTATCGCCTACACATAACGATGTACCTGTCCAGTCAATAATTTTGGCAAGGTCAATCCTAGATGTCGTTTACTAAAATTTGACATAAAACTTTTCAAAAATTAACTCTAATTATAGAAAGATTAAAAAAGTACAGACACGCAAATCTATTTCCAAAATATTATTTTTTATCGAATTTTAAACTATAATATTTAAAAATTATTTTTACTTAATATGAAAATAAAATAGTAACCTTTTTGAAGCCAACTTTTTGTAAACGTCATTAAAAAATAAAGAAGATTACGGGCGACGTAAATGACGCTTAGGGCTTGACCTCCCCGAAATTATTATCGTTTGTTCATTTTGCCCAGCCCATAGACTGGGCTACACTAAAATGAAATTATTATTTAAGTTTATGGCTTATTTTAAGTCTATGGCCCAGCCGTTTTTGATGCCGTTTTTTATTCGATCGTATGGCAGAACCATGTAGAACTTCCAGTGTGCATACTAGTCTTTAATTCATCTTACTTGTCCCTTTTAACTGAAAGGTAAAATGTTATGTTAGGCCAGAAAACTGTCGTTTAGCCAAAGAATATCTTAATACCGTTTAGCTTATTTGTTATTTTCATTTATTACTTATGTTTATTTGCTTTTTTTATTATTTAATTAACGATATCTAACATTCTTTAATTGACAATATCTGATATATCTTCTTGTAAGGCTTGGCAGTATTTTTGTTCTATTTTTAAAAGAACTTTCAGTATCGTGATTCAACTGGATAGTATAAAAGTGTCTGGAATATTGTGGGAAATCCGTGTTTTTCGAATCTTTTGGTGTTTTATTTCTATTTTTCGCTTTAAATGTGGTTGCGAGTAAAAATCATGCGAGTGGGCCTGAGGTTTTTCTTGAAAATTATAGAGTTTCGTTATTTTATAAGTATGTTTAGTATTAACATGTTTTATATAGTTTTTATGGTACCGTACCTTAACAAAAAAAACAGAACCCTTTTTGTCTGTCTGTCAATCAAGGGCGCGATTTTTGAATTCATTGTTGCCAACCACAGACATATTCGGCGCCGGACTGACTAACTGGAATTTAAATTTCCCGCTGGGGATTCAGGTGGCAGCTCAGCTGTAAAATATGCCAAGTTACATTTATTTATTCATTTTCTGACATTGTTATTCGTTTTGACACTTTAGTTTTCTATTACGAGTTTTTGGTTATTATCAAGGAAATAGTTATTAAAAGGTGTCGGACATGTTTGCTGCTCTGTATCCGAATAGACCGATACCTGGAAAATCTACAATCGCAAGGAATATCCAGAAATTTGAGACCAAAGGTACCTAAATAACTGCAGATGTGAAGCAAGGCAGGAACAAAGAGAAGATGCAAGAAATGATACCAACTTGGAAGTTTTATTGTGCGTGGAAGAGAACGACGGAAAGATCAGCACAAGGAAACTTGAGGATTAAATAGGAATAGATCACACTACAGCGTTTCGAATTTTGAAACGACATAAATACTATTCCTTCAAATATGAAAAGCACCAAGAGCTACGAGATAGGGACGAAATACGGCGGCAGGCGTTTTGTTTTGATACGATGGAAAGAGCAAACACGGATAGGGAATTTTTAAAAAACATATCTTTCACTGACGAATGCACGTTTACCTTAAATAATGAACCCAATGTTCAAAATTATCAATATTGGAACAAAGAAAACCAACACAGGTTTGTCGAAACAAGGACGCAATATCCACAGAAAGTAAATGTTTGGGCAGGGATATTCGGACACAATATTATCGGGCCATTATTTCTTACGTGAAATTTAAATGCAGAATATTATTTAGAACTACTCGAAAATCATATTTTACCTGCTTTACATGATGCCGCTAGGGAAAACCAGGAAGTTTGATACCAAATAGATGGCTGCCCGGCACATTGTACCCTGGCTGTTCGGGAATATTTAGACAATATAGTTTTAACGGAAACGTTATTGGCCTAAATTATACAGTAAATTGGCCAGCAAGGTCTCCTGATATTTCGCCAAATAATTTCTTTCTCTGGGGCCATTTAAAAAACAGGATATACAAGGATAAAAAATACCCAAATCTAGACGAGTTAAAAAGTGCTATTTCTGCCGAATGCAATAGAATTTCAGTTTACCAACTAGCGAATGTAAGAAGAGAATTTTATGATCGCCTGGGTTATTGTCTAGCAGTCGATGGAGGAAAATTTGAACATCTTCTTAAATCCTAAAGTTCTAACAATTTAATAGTACCTAAATTAATAAGTTATTGAATATTGTAATAATACTATAATTAACCTTGTAATTGATTACTTTATTTTACTTTAATTTCATATTAATTTGTATTTATAAATATATCTTTAAGATTTCCGATGTAGGAATAAGTTTTCAATAATAATAAAGCACTAAATAGGTAAATTTCTGAAACGACAACTTCATTTGACAGTTATCTTTTACCTTGACTGGTGCTCATAAGTAAATACAGGGCCATAAGAGAGGAGAAATATTTAAAAAGAAATCGGCGATAACTCGTAAACGAGCTAATCAAAAATATCTAAATCTTTTGAATGTGGGTTTTAGTGCTCTTCAATAAACCTAAATAGAATTATTCTCTAAAATAATTAGGGAAGCCAATAATTGACCCCATTAAAATTTACATGGGATTTCCTATGTCCCGTCCGACGATGCAACACCCGGTGTATGTATCTAGTATCTAACTCCCTTTGTTAGAAATTTCAATTTTTATTAATTACAACTCTATTGGGACATAAGTATAGAATTTTTGAAATAGTTTTGCCCGTGAAATCCCGAATTTTAAACCTCCTCATCATATAGTGTTGCTTAATCATCCAAAACCGACAATCAAAACCTTTGCGGCACAGACGTACGCGACCGTGACTCAACCAGAATCGAAAGCGTGCCTACGTGACAGTCCAGACCACAGAATCTCGAACTTCCGGAAATCCTCAGCCGATTCCGGTGAATTCATCTTGCACCCAGGAACGTATCATCGCTTTCGTCTTTGGCTACGTTTATTTTTAACATCGAAACTTTCGCAAAAAAGTCACAATATGCGTTGCGGTCAGCCGCAATTTTTTGTAAATATATCCAGATCGATGAGTGATATAGAATTCGCACATTGTGTGATGTGGCTTGGGCTAGTTTTCTTTGCCGGAATTGGTGATAAAAGTAAAGAAAGCCCCAGACATTCCGACACCTTATTATTGGGAAAATATCGTAAGATATTTTTTTCTTACTGAATTAATATAAGCTTATCTTATATCGTCTTCGTCATCACTCCCTTGGGATTCTCTCTAATCTTTTTTCAGATTTTGAGTAATTAATAATATAAAATGAAATCAGACTACTCTAGTAATTTACTGCCGGCTGAGATCACACCTACAGAGGATGGGACTAGTGGAAGACGCCGAATGCCGACTCTGTATGGAAGATGACGAAACAATGAAGCACATGTGTACCTGCCCCGCTGGGGGCAGGACCAGGTTTGAGGTGTTTGGCAAACCCACGCTAGACTTATCAGACCAGGTGGATGACAATTCTTATGGGAGAACTGGCAATGGTTGAAAACTTGACTACAAGCGATTTTCTAGGAATCTTCCTTACCGATAAATTATTGACAAGAGTGACAGATAAAGCCTTGACGTTCTTTCAGTATTCCAGTTCATCTCTTTTTCTTTCTAAAGTGTGCGTTGAAAGGAGACAAAAACAATTTTTGGTGACCCATAATTTGTTATTCGAACACCACTTTTCTCCTTGTCGGATCGTTGACGTTGACTTTTTTTGATCGACCTGAAAACTTCAAGCAAAAAGATGACACTTTCAACAATACCCTGACAGATATCAGAGACGATACAGGTTTTTCCTCTCTTTTCCCCTGGAATACTTTTAATTTATTATTCTTTGTTTATCTAGATTTCTCAGAGCACTATGAACGAACTCAGCTTGTATGTTTGAAATAATCGTCTAGTTGGCTTAAAAATGATGATCGAAGACATTTCCCATTTGACCACAACCGTCAATTAATGTAAGAAATTCTGACTTACTAATACCAACTAATACTGACTAATAGGAAAGGAAAAATTAATAATTAACATTGGCTTTAATATACTATTTTAAAACCAAAACACAATTTATTAACACAGCAAAATATTATTATTAATACTAATAAAATGTTAATATAGTTTTATAAATATTATATACAAGGTACCCTTGATGACGTACCTTCCCAAAAAATGTCAAGAAAAATGTAAAAAAAGTTTAACAATATTTTTTTCCAAAAAAATATTCATAGGTGAGTTTTTGGAGTGGAACTATACAACCAAATACCTTCTTTAGCAGATACCCTATATAATGTAAAATATCAGTGATACATTCTTTAACTACTAGCAAATAAATAACCTAAAAATCATATTTACATTGGCTTATGAATCTCAATATTAAGCAGGAATTAAAAACCAAATGAACCTAAGTAGATACAGAATATTGTTGGCTATAACGTAGAAATAGATTTCTACAGTTCTTCTTTCTGTTAATCATATATGAGCATTAGTATTGGTGATACTTTTTGTAATAACTATAAAAATAAATAATAAAGAGAGCACATAAAGTATACTCGTGGTTCATTCTTCGGAAGCGTCATATCTGCGCCTGACTAAATCAAAATTTGAGTCGAGTTTGACAAAATATGTCATTTGATTTCCTGCTCCTTTTACTTCTCTAACACCTCTTTCTTCACATTCGTATCCTAATTTTTCGATTTCCTCAGCTGTGGATTCCAGGACCTGTATTTTACCTAAACAACAATAGAAAAACTCAATAAATCCATTACCTACCCAAACAAAAAAAAAATAAAAGTATATTTTCAACTGAATCTTTCTTTCTGGTTTGGTTTGGTTGTAATTCCCTTTCACACCTTTCAACTAATCTTCTTTAAAAACACCTATTATAGTCTGTGAAACGAATAACTTTGAATTTGACAGTTCCCGCGGGCTTTTCTAGTGTTAATTTTATTAGGTTAGCAACTTGCGGCCATGCTGATGCCGTCTCTAATAGAACAGCCCCGGAGCGAGATTTATGACGTCACGCTAGTTAGATACTACGGATTAATTATGTTGTAGAATGATGGAAAACATAATTTATTCCTTGTCAAAGTATATGTAATTTTAGGATTATATTCGACATTACCTTTTTTCATATGACATAACACTGATGAAGGCTATAAACGTTAGCTATAACAAAAATTTTTAGAATAATTTTACATATAAAATGACAGCGATCTTTATTTCATAGCCATCGCTGACGCCTTTTTCCTATGATATTGTATTATTTGCAAATATAATTTTTTCGAACATTGATGCTTTGCAAAATATACATATAAATTTTGTGAAATAAAATTAGAACGACACTGATAAACCGGAATTTAAGTCGGCCATATTTGATAATAATACATCACTATTAGTAGATATTGAATATTTTTGTTAAATTAGATCGATTTCAAAAAACCAAAATTTAAAATATATTTTACATATTACCCATTATCTTATGAATCTCATTCATTATTTGTATATTGTAAAACATTTGAACATTTGTATAGATCATAGTTTATTTGTCAAAGTAATTATTATAAATAGATTATATATATTGTATTTATTAACTGTATATTATGTATATTTCATGTAAACTGATATCATTTTTAAAATACAAACCTAAAGTACGAGGAATAATTATGTTTTCCGTGTATTCTACAACATATTTGTTAATCCGTGGTATCTAACTAGCGTGACGTCATAAATCTGAGTCGAGGCTGTTCAATTAGAGACATTTGATATTTAGAAATGTCAAAGGCTGATGACATTTTACTTTGTCAATTATGACATTTTCCTAATTTTTTTTGCAAGAAGAGGAAGAACTGTCACGTGGTTTATTATTTTCCTTTTCTATTTTACGAAAGTAAAAAGAGTTACCTATCTGATTCGATCAGGCACTCATTTTAAAGAATATCAGTAACTTTTTGGATAAAGGGCTTTTATATTTGCCATGTTGGTAAAAAATAACGGTCAAAATTCAAAGTTATTCATTTTATAGACTATAACAGTATATTCACCTAACATGCCGGTACTGTCCATCCTCGATGCCATATTAACAGCATCTCCCCATATGTCATACAAAGGTTTTTTGGATCCTACCACACCAGCAACAATTGGACCATGGCATATTCCTGAAACACACATTATTTTTTAACACTTAGATATGTAATTATCATTAAAATATCTTGTTAACATATGGAAAGAAATCAGGATTCCTTCTTCTTTTTCGCGGACTTCCTTCTTCTTTTTCTTCGGACTTCCTTCTTCTTTTTCGCGGCATAAACTGAAGCTTGTTCAAGCATGCATGTACCATGTGGCGGCGAAGGTACATGCTTGTACAAAAAGATTGTTCGTGCGTGCTTGTCAAGCTTGCAGTATTGTGTGTAGCCACCTTAAGGATAGATACTAAGAAATTCTTACCTATTCTTAAATGCACCTCAGTCATAGAATTGTTATGTGCTCGAAATATTTTGAACATCATAGAAGCGAAATTCAGTAGCGTATCTAAGGGCGTACTGGTATGATGGGTTTCCACTTCGTACGCCACTGTATCTTTGTCAGTGGGAATGGTCAGTCCACACGCAGCCATGTAGGTCCATTTGGCTATTTTAATTTTTTCTACTTTGGAAAATTCTTTGCGATTAATCAACTACAAAAATATCAAAAATAACTAAAAATAATCTAATAAGGAACTTAAATAATATGTCAGTTGTCAGAGTTAAGATGGAGTTAAGCAAGTGGCCAACGGAAAGGTCTCTGACAGTGACAGTTGTGTCTGTCATTTTAATTCAGAGGCAAAGAGTCGTTGGACAAACTATATTGTATTTAATACTGCTTTAATAGATAAATATAATGTAGTATTGCTAATTTTCTGATAGTAGTATATACTTACTGTATCTATATCCGTAACATAACCGTTCATCATAGTAAGAAATGAGTTCTCATTCTCCATATAGCACTCATCAAATATCATAGAAGCAAACATAACAGCAGCATTATTGTGACTTTCATAGTAAAGTTCATTACTTGAATTATTCACGTCTAAATAGATTTTAGCTGAAAACATCAAATATAATATTATGAATAAGTATTTTTCTAATTAAAAATACTCTCAGATAAGTTAATTCTATGTTAAAATATCCTTACTTACCTACGTGTTTGGGTAAAATGTTAATTAACATATGAGTATTGACAGCTTGTTGTTCATTGGCTTTTTTCTTCTCTTCCAGTAGCTTGTTGGTCCAAAGAAAATCTAACCTGTTCATGTAGTCTGTCTGACGGTCAATCAAATGTAAGGTGAATGTTAGAAAGACAACACTCATTATATGGGCAGCTTGAGGTGATAAATATGGGTTAAATGTTTCACTATTCTGAAAATGAATTCTTGTAAGAATTTGAATCATGTTCCAAAAATTAAATATTTAAATCTAGAGGTTTAGAATGTTTCAATTTTCTCATTTTTAGAATATTTAACTTTTTCCTTCAATTTCAATTTTTAAAGCATATTTTTTGAAACTTTTAGGACGTTCCACTTTTAATTTAGAATGTTCCAATTTGTTTAAAACCTATTTTTAAACAGTTAGAAAGTTCCAATTTAAAATTTAGAACGTTCCAATTTTACTTTTAATTATTAGAATGTTCCAATTTTTTTGTAGCTTAGAAAGTTCCACATTTTAGAGATATTTTGATTTGTATAATTTGAAAAATTTCTTAAAAATAAAATTTAGAAAAGTATAAATTCTTACCCTATAAATATAATTGACAAAAAACACTATACAACACCCATAAGCCACCGTAGTTATAACTGCGTATAATAGTTTGATCCAAATAAATATTTTCAAAAATAAGAACGTCATTATTAGCGTCAGAGCGCAGGCCTGGGTCATACTCTAAAAATCATAATTTTAAAAAATCTAAAATTTTGCAGTAAATGTTTGTATTACTATTTACCCAAGGTACTAGGCAATGTCCTGCAATCAGGGAATCGTTCTTTTCGTTTGATTCTAGATGGCATAATAACTAAAAAATATAAAAATATAGCAATAATAAACATATTTTTTTTAACAGAATACCACTTACAACTTCCAACAAAACACAAGTAACAAACAGGCAATACACCACAGTATATATAAGCCATCTAGCCCAAAATTTCTGTGTTATATACATAGAAGTCCTGTACAGAAATCTCACAATTATATTTTTAGGAAGAGTTTCTCCAAATTTAGTTTTGTATTTAAGATATAAAAAATATGTCCAGGTACTAGGTAGTAGAACAAAAATTAGAATTGCTTGTGATATGACTATTTCGGGTCTCCACCAAGTATTTCTACAACAAAATGTACAAAATAATGATTAAACTCAATCACAAAATAGTTGCAATGCAAGCAAAAAAAGTTTCGTATAAAACACTCATATCATTACTTACCTTTTCAGTGTTAAGTTTTCAATAATATACATGCATAGTAAGAGTCCTACCTGTCCCAAAACGTAGTATTTGAACATTGGATCTGTCAATTTGACATAAGCAAGCTCGTTTTTCTTATTACGAAATATTAATAAACTACTTATCTCCTTTTCTTTAATATATTGACTGAAAAAATACATGCTTTAAAATGCGATTTTAAAACGTATCGATATTTTTAGATATTTATATCGATATTTTTAGATAGATCGATATATTATCGATATTTACAAAACTATCGATATGTTTGTACATTCCTAAAAGAAATTTTAACTTACTCTTTTTTGGAAAAGGACATATTATTTATAGCTTTCTCCATTTCGTCATCAACTGTAGCTGTGGTTTCCATGTATCTTTTAAAATTACTGTTCATAAAAGCAGTTCTTCGCTTAATATCAGAAGTGGATCTTCGTTCTTCGTTTATTCTAAATCTCAAACTGGCTCGTCTTTGGTATACAGTGTTTCTTCTTCCATTTGCGTCACCATTAGATATAGCTTTTCTAAAAAAACATGCCATTTTTTTTCAAAGTTCTCAAATAATTTTTAAACAATTTCAAACTTTTTAATAGAAAAAATACCTTTCATTGTCGTTGTCAATATTATTACTCTCGATTAGTGTCAAAGTTGAAACAGGTTCTTCGGCAATATTCGGCAATTCGGAGGTGAGGTGAGCCAAATTTAATGGAGGCATGCCATTTTTTCGAAAGAGTGAAGGTCTAGGTTGTGCAGGAATGTGGCTATCTTCGGGTTCGTAAACCTTATGGTTATTGCGCGGTATTGTGTTAGGATGCTCGGGCATCTGAAACCCATTAGGCAAAATAAAACTGTAGAAGGTTCCAATTTTGGAATGCTTTCTTTTTAATAATGTTCCAAAAATTAATTTTTTAAATTTTTTATCTTTTTGAACATTTAGGGTCTTTCAATTTTTTTTGTTAGAACGTTCCAACTTTTATTTGTAGTGTTTAGAATGTTCCAATGAAAAAATTAGATTGTTCCATTTTTTTGGAACCTTACTTTTTTTATATTTTTCTTCAAGCATATTTAAACAGGTATTTTAATTAAATTAATAAAATTATTTAAAGAGTCTGTTCTAGTTTTTTAATAAACTGTAGAATGTTCCAATTTTAGAGTGATTTTCTATTTAATAATGTTCCAAAAATAAAAATTTTCAATTTTAATTTTTGAGACTTTAAGAATATACCATATTTTTTTTAGTTTAGAACGTTCCAATTTTCCTTTGAAGAGTTTAGAATGTTCCATTCTAAGTAAATTGATGACAAATTATTGAGTATTTGATGTAGTTTTTTATTAACAAGAACACTAGAAATATCGTGAACAAGTACTTACTGGCGAGACCAGGTACGTTTTAAGTTCATTCTGTTTAAACTGAGCGACTGTTTCACCTTTATCTGTCGGTACTATATCATAGGGCTTCTCAAGTAACTCCTTGGTTTTATTTGTTATATGGACCTTCCTACAAATGAATAATTTAGTTAAAAACTAGAATATTTCTGTTTTTCATTTTTTCAAACCCTGGTTTTCCCTCGCTCTCCATTTTGTTGGCTATGTCTACATCTTTCGACCATATATCGAATTGATACTTGATTTTTCCGATAATTCCACAAATGATTCTTCCAGTATGGATTCCTATTCTCATATCAATTGTTAGATCTTTCTCCTGTCTATATTTTAAAGTAATAATATCATAACCTCAGCATTTTATTTTTCAAAAATAAAAATTAAAAAAATCTGACCTGACTTTGGCAATGATGTTGATCATTTTCAACCCCAAATCAACACAGGCTTCAGCAGGGTTTTCTGGAGGATTTGGAGGTAATCCAGAGACACAATAGTAACAATCTCCCAAGAACTTAATTCTAATGACTTTAAGTTTCTGAAATGTATTAAATATTTCTTTATCAAAATTTTTGTTCAATTTTTTGTAGTTTCTTACGTCTGAAGCATCATCAAATCTACCAAACAATTCATTTAATGTTTCTAATAATGCGTTTATGTTCAGTTTCTTCGTCATGACAGTGTAATTGACGATGTCAGCAAAAAGAATGGTGACATTATCGTGAGTTTCTAACAGCTTTTGGCTGAAAAATAATATCACTTATCACAGTCAATGTTCTTAAAAATAAACAGAATATATTATCAGTTTTTCCGCGGTAAACATATTTTTATATAGGAACTTTTATCTGTAATATCGTCACCCGCTAAGGTTGGTACACTAGTTCTTTACACTCTGTATACTCGTACATACCTGTCGTCTTGCAAAAGTTTCCCAGACGTTAAATAAGCATCTTGAATTTGGATATAGTTTTCTTTAACCTTGGATATCAGAGGTGCAGGGATTATACTTGACATAAGTTGTTCCTAAATAAATAAAAAATGGATTTATATCTATTACATATAGTTTCCAGGCGATCATGAAGCATTATGTTACTAACCTCTTGTTCTTTTTCATGCTTGAGCTGCAAAGTATTCACTATACAGTCTCTACGGTCCAAAAAACTTTTTCTTTGTACTAGTTCATTCAAGGAACGGAAATACAAGCCTAGTCCGTTGAAACACACCAGATAAATTGAATCTGAAAAAACCTAAAATGTCCTAATAAAACTAAACATTTGAACATAATAAAAATACATTAAGAAAAAGAATGGATAAGATCCACTACTCAATTAAAATTAAAAATAAATCTTTCATTTTAGTCAATTTTGAAAAAAAAATTAAAACACTTACAAAATTATTATTCTTATTATAAACGAAGAGATACGAAATCTCAAGGCAAAAAAATAAGTACCCTTTAGATCATTGTTAGTTGAAAAAAAATTCTGTACCTAAAGATATTAAAATTTTTACAAAATTTTGAAAATAAATAATCATCTGGCACTTAAAAACTAAAATAGCTCGAACTGAACGAATAACTTATTTTTTTTAAATCAGTTGATAATTTTTATTGTCTGTCAATCACCGTAAATTATTTAAATTAACATGTCAGAATTTAACAAGACAAGATTAAGATAATCCCCATTGTACAATTATATTTCCATTTTGTATTAGATAATTGCAATTTTATTATAAATAATTTCTAATTACAATACCTTAAAATAGATTTAAAAATAACTAACATATTTTTCTAATACCCAAAACTGATTATTATGCAGATAAAGAAATTCGAAAAATATCAAAATTTTCAATTTTTTCCTATTTTTCTATAAAAAATTACTTACTCTTTTAATTTTCTTATCCGTATCCAATGTATCATAAGATATAAACAGTACTGTAATGACATGTACAGCTGAAACCAGCAACCCTGCCATAGTTGCAATCCAATTTTTTGGTACCCCAAAAAACACGTAACAAGCTATAATAAGTAGAAACGTGTAGGCAGGAGTGTAGTAGTACCCATCCGGTACATCCACAAAACTGTGGTACAGTGGAACAAAAAAGTTTCCTATAAATAACGCTATGAAGGCTGTGGTAGGGAAATATGACCATTCCTTTTGATTTTTGACAGTTACTTCGAGAAAATAGAGCCCTATAACTGAGAGACATGTTATGCTTGCGTATACTGTGAGATCTGGAATTAGTACAGTTAAATTGTCCTAAAAGAAAAGTTAAGTTATTGCTAAAAATGTTTTTTTTTATTTGCAAATAGCTGCTAATGCCTCGTCTACACGTAAAGTTTTACCTCTGAGTTTTTATCATTTATATCATTAAGTTTACTGAAGTTTAAAAGAATAAAAAATGGAATTTTGCTACAAAATTGTATTTATGGTTTATCTATATTACATTTTTGAAATCACGCAAAGTTGATGTAATATATTCATATTATTTGTTGTATGTTTTACAAAAATTTACTTTAAGCTGGTCCTACACGATGAGTTTAACTAACGTTCTAAACAATATTTTTTCACAAATTTCTACAATATTGCAATTGACAAGTGTGTCTTCCACACGTGATGGCAAATGTTCATGTGTCCAACGTTAGAAGGTGTTTGGTTTTTACCATCTTTAGTTGCAAAAAAAGTATGAACTGTGAAAACCGTATCTTTGTACCGCTGCTCATAAACGAGAAACCCTCTGATTTATGTCATTGATGCGTTTATTTTTTATTGTTTATTATTGTTGTTTATACCGTATGATCGAAAAAAACGGCGTCCAGTTGGCGTGGAAATGAACACCAATGACATTCCCCATATAATTTTACATATAAAATGAGAGCGATTTTCATTTCATAGCCGTCGCTGACGCCGTTTTTTTCGATTATACGGTATAATATTTTATTCTAATCTGTATCTACAAAAAATTAATATACAGGGTGTTTCAATACAAATGCGAAAAACTTCAGGGGGTGATTCCTTGTTCAAAATAAAGGGTAGTTTGCTTTATAAACGTTGGGTCAAAAGTCAACCATTAGGGAGATATCGCGGTACAAAGATGACGGAAAAATAATGTTCTTATTTTTTATCTTGAAAACGAAAAGAGATAGACTAATGAAATTTTATGGAAGCATTACTGTTATGAAAACACACTTTCTGGTAATTTTTCCACTTTTTTAAAATGAGTGGAAGGGGTTGAAATAAACTACCCCTATCATTCTTGTTAATGAAATTTAAAGAAAAATCTTATCAAACACATGCAAAAAAATTAATTTGGATAGTTTACTTTGTTTAGAAACTTTTTTATCTCTTGTATTTTTTTAGTAAAACTCACCGATTTGAAATAAAAAAATAAAATGTAAAGCATTACATGTCAGGACTAAAAATATTTTTAGATTAAGAATCTAGTGATAATAATGATAATAATAATAATCTAGATAATAACGTATTGCAGTAGGGTAATGTCAAATAAAACAATAATAGAAACATCCTAAAAAGTGACAGCGGCCGACTAGATTTTTTCCTAAAAAAATTACAGCTGCCCACTAGATTCTTTATCTAAAAATGTTTTTTGTCCTGACATGTAATGCTTTACATGTTATTTTTTAATTTCAAATCGGCGAGTTTTATCAAAGAAACACAAGAGATAAAAAAGTTTCTAAATAAACTAAACTATCAAAATTAATTTTTTTTGCATGTGTTTGATAAGATTTTTCTTTAAATTTCATTAACAAGAATGATAGGGGTAGTTTATTTCAACCCCTTCCACTCATTTTAAAAAAGTGAAAAAATTACCAGAAAGTATGTTTTCATAACAGTAATGCTTCCGTAAAATTTCATTAGTCTATCTCTTTTCGCTTTCATGATAAAAAATAAAAACATTATTTTTCCGCCATCTTTGTACCGCGATATCGCCCTAATGGTTGACTTTTGACCCAACGTTTATAAAGCAAACTACCCTTTATTTTGAACAAGGAATCACCCCCTGAAGTTTTTCGCATTTGTTTTGAAACACCCTGTATAGATAAAAAAATGGGGTATTGATTTTGATTTTAGAAATGACTTCAGCCTTTTTAAAACTGACTTTTGTTGCAGCTCTCTTGTAAGAACAAGTACGCCTGGCAGGTAAATCTTTTTGTGTAGACCAGGGCTTTAGGGAGACTTACCGTATTCGTGTAATTTTCTGCAATCAATATCAGCGTATGCGCCAGGAACAGAAAAAATGTCAAGATGAGGAACAAGGAAAAATATCCAAAATTTATTTTATCAGTGTATTTTCTAAAAAGGTTGTACAGCTCTAATGTTTCAAATTGAGACTAAAATAAAAAAAATACATCAAAATCCTATTTTATTTGTTCTTATGTTCCATATAAGATTGAAATATCTCATATACAGAATGATATACGCTTATTTTGCCAACAAAGTTGTAGCGCAAATATCAGATAAGTATGAATCCTGATAGGTATAGAAGTTTTTCAGAATACCCTGTACACATTTTATGAAGAGTATAATAATGTTATATAATAATAAACCTCCATATATTATGTTTCCTATTTTTAACCCTGATATGATGTCACAAGATTATTACAAGAAACAGAAAATTAATTAATATGAAGAAATAAAAGAAAAATAAAAAACCGTTTCATCGAAAAAAAAGGGTGTCACAGAGTTAGCGTCATTTTGACCTCGCCAAAATTATCATCGATCGTCATTCCCCAGCCGTCTATGACGCCCTTTTTTTTCTATCGTAATTCTAACATTTGCCAACATTCCTTGAATGCAGGACACAAAACATATTGGTACAGTTTTAAAATGACTCTAATGATTAATATCTCAACAAAATAAAAATACAAATAAAAATTTAAAAAATACCAAAAATCGAAAGTAATATTTGCTCTGTATTATTATTTTTACATATCTCCTACCTTTTTATTTACATGCCGCCAACGATTTTTACACATATTACTATCTCATTTAAGATAAAAAAATTGAATTAACTACTGAATCACTTTCAAATAATCACACTGTATATTTTTTCTACCCCATCGATCTTCTTTTGTCACGATGTAATCAAAGAAACAGCGATTATACGACGCCTGAAATCCGAATATTTGCTTTTTTCGATTTTACAATAAAACAATTAACAATTCCGATAAATATAAGCATTATCTCAATAATATTATCTTTACAAATACATACTTTAGCAAGTTTACCGGTATTTGATGTGTAATCCACGCGTTAAAGGATTAAAATGTTCTTGAATTTATTGTAAAATTTGCAATGACTCAAAAGCTACAAGAAATATTTCTGTCTTTTGTAAAATCTATATTAAAATTGATGGCTATACATTTTTAAAGACATTGTAAGTGTATTTCACTTTTATATTTACACAACTACCTAGGTTTTTTCACGAAGTATAATTTTAGCTTAGCTTCAATAATTTTGTGTCCTGTACTCTATGGATACTGGCAAATCATAGATATACAAATAATAATATCTCAAAGTTTAGTGTAAAGTAAACCTTCTACCCAAGTAGCAAAGAGAAATTCTAAAAGGATTGAATTATTTTATAACAGTCGAATAGCGTTGTCTTAAGGACTGCTTGATTTTATTAAGCGTTGGTTTCGACCATTCTGTTTTTTAATAAAAGTTGTCATATTAAACTATTTTCTAGTGGTTTTTACAACGTATCCTATAACGCATTAAACGATAATTTCTTTTGTATGATATAACACTTAATAAGACAATGCTATATGATAACAAACATATTATTTTATTAGACTCTTATACCCACGATGTAAGAGTTCTATAATATTCATATAACTAGTAGTCACAAGATCATATATTAGTTACTTAAACTTGTCTTATTAAAGTTGTATTACGTTGTATGATAGAATGTTTTATTGCGTTAAACTACGGTGCTGTATACAACACCAGTTATATAGCCTTATATGATAATATAAGGCTATATAACTGGTGTTGTTGTTATATAATAAATTATGATTAACAAAATAAATTCGCTGTAATATCTACATTATAAAACTGGTAATGTATAATATAACCTCATTTTAATTTAAATGGTATACCTAGTTATTTAGTTTGTTATTGTTGTTGTTGCAAAAGTAATATCTACGTACGAGTATAATCAATCACAGCTATTATGAATTCTGGACAAAGTTGGAAAAAAGTTAACAAACGCAGTGGTAGTTATAAAGAACATGTAAGAAAAAACTCCTCGAAATTACGGCAAATAATCCCCAGAATTCCCTGGGTTCTCAAAAGCCAAAATCTCTCGGGTTGTCTGGCTTCTTCAAAGCATTGTTGCCACGTTGATGTATAAGTTTTACTGTAGTAAATGTTTGTATTGTTTTATTGTTGTCTTTCCAAGTCCTTAGGTTGCCGCTCACTCGTTGGGCACGCATGAAATACATTGCGTGCATGAATCCATGAAAATCTGATCATGTTTGTTAGTTTAAATACTAATCAAATGAGATTTTGCAACATCTATTTGTCACAAATCTCAATATGTCCAAAATAGTTCTATAGTGCCTGGAAATTCTGCGTAATGATAGATATTTATCCTATACCGTTTTATTTTGCAACAAAGACTTATTAAAGGGATTCATTTATGATAAAATGGTTGCATTATAATTCGTTATGTTTAAGGCAGAATTTTTGTATGGCCTATGGCCACCATTATATGAAGCAAAATTAAAAACATCAAAATAAATTGTAAAATGTTATTTTTGAGAACTATTTTATGATAAGATTCCCACATAACAGTAATAAAGTGTTTACTTAAATTAAAAACAAAAATTTTTGAAAATTTTATTTTATTTTATTGTTTAAATTTATATGTAAACCTTAATCGAAATTAAAGCGCTTTTATTTTTTGCCAAATACATACCTATAATCTACCAGTAAAATTTTCGGCGCAACAAAAATTGTCCCTACTTTTCAAACCCTATTAATGATTTTTTATTTACATATTTGTTGTACCTTCTGGCTCTACCCGCCATTTTCATTGTCGAGTAAAGTCTCCGCTTAAAATATAATTTGCTCCTAATATTCTTCGGCAAAAAATAAAATACTCTTGTACCTCGCTAAATGATCAAATGTTTTTATTGTTCTGTTTCTTAGATGTGACCACGTAATACACAATAAAACTAGTTTTATAATAGTCAAATAACGCTGTGTAAAATAGTTGCATAAGAGTTGTATATCCTTTTTATAGAACTTCTATACTACTAAACGGTTGTATAAAAATGGGCCTTTTTTAGTTGTAAAGCTATCATGTTACGGTCATATAGCACGTTATATGAATTGAGGTATCCTATAAAAATTATCACACAGCTGTTTATACAACCTTTATAAAATAAAATTTGCTACTTGGGTAAAGCCTAAAAATAAGGATTTCCTCGAAATCAACTTCCTAAAACTCACTCTTAAATGCTTTCTGGTCCATTTCTTCTCACCATAACTTTCTATCTCTACTGGACCGCTTCCGAACAACTCTTCATCTACACTTGTTAGATCTACAGACGAATTATCATTTATATCCATCATGTTGGCATCTCTTGTTTCATAGCCAATCAAATATGAAAACCCAAAATCAAAAAAAAGATTTCTATGATGTATTGTTCCTAGAATGTCTAAGGTATTTTTGCCATTTAATTCGAATGGGATAAAATGAATTTAGAACGTCGTTTCTGATATAATATTGTTAACTCTGTATATGTAGTTTGCAAATGCCACCCTTGGTTGAAAATCTTAAAAAATGAACAAAATGCATTTAGTAAGTTTGCTCCTCATATGTTCCTATTCACTGCAATAGTCAATTTCGATTAACCAGCTGCTGGGTCAACTAAATTGTACGTGTGTGGCCCGCTTTTTAGTGTTTGAATCGCCAATTTTAAGTAATCGTTTTCAGAAAACGTTTATATATGTTTTTTAAATCACACTTGCGTAAAATATGAGTGTACAGGTACTCAAGTTGAATTGTGATAAACTATTTGTTTGATATGGGTAGATTATCTGAATTTGACACTGATACCAGATTAACTAAGTTGTTATTTGGAACAAATCTGCGAATTGTTGTAGCTTGTTAATACATCCAATCAATAGAGATAAAGAAAAATTTATCACACATTTTTTAATTTACTTTCACATCAATTTTATGGCCAAATTTTTGTTTTTGCTATAATCCATCAACAAAAAAATATGATTTAGGGTCAATAAAAATGGTAGTTTTGCAAAAATAAATAATACTTACAATCGAAAAATAGTTATGCACTTAAAAACTAGAATTATATCACAAAAACTATCAGTGAGAATAGCAACTAGTCATTTTCACTCACGTAAAAATTTGATTTCCTTAAATTTTAAAATATCAAACTTTTTAGCACTAAAATGACCGTGATATCTGCTAATCTCGATTTATACTAAGTACCGGATTAAATGAACCTTGTTTAAATAATCCGTGAAATTTTCATTTCGTACTTTTCGGGTGGTGGGGGTAAAGAACGACCCTTCAACTTATCAGTACCTATCTATACATATATTGTTTTGTGGATGAAACCGCATAAAAACTAATGCAACAAATGTCACTCGAGAATTTTGGTACAGGTTGTGGCTAAAGCCCCCTGTACACATAAAGTTTTACCTGTCAGTTTTGCTTGTCAGGTAAGACAGAAGACCGTCTAGAAATCTAACGGCAGTCCTCGAAAAAACGGCGTCAGCGATGGCTCTGAAATGGAGATCGCTGTCATTTTATATGGGAAATGTCATCGATCGTCATTTCCCAGCCTACTGGACACCGTTTTTTTTCGATCGTACGGTATTTTTTTTATTTAACCTTTTGAGGGCTGTAATTTTTTCGGAAAGCATTTTAGGGCATATGTTCATAGGAACTTTTTGTTTTATCTTTAGAAGAAGAAGCTAGATACGCTTTTTCTTTGACACCCTGTATATGTCAAAAATTACCTGCAGTTATTACCTTGCAGTGTTGATTTGCAAACATGGAAATATTTATTAGGCTTTACAGATTTTAAAAAAATGTAAAGTGACATAATTTCACTGACATATAATTTTCATTTTAGTAAAAATTAAAAATTATATATTTCCCTCAAAAATAATCAAAGAAAGGAAACCAAAATAAAACAAAGTTTTTATATACCAAAAATTTATTTAACCACATAGTAACTAGCGATATAAAACAATACATTTATTAACATAATAATTTCTCTGACTTATACAAAAGCAATTAATAAAAAACTCAAATTTTAAACCATACTTTTTCAAATTTAAAATATCCAACATTCACATCATTCGTTTTTTAAAATACATAACAAAATTATCGTGCTCTTTTTTTATCCTGTAGCTTTTTCTTTCTATTTGGCTTAAATACAGAACGAGAAAGTCATATCACCAAAGATCATTTTATTTTTCGTCTCAACTTAAAACTAAAATAAATAAACAGATTCACATATAAAAAAAACAGATTTTTATAAAAAAATCAATCTCAAACAGCTGTCATTATTAAATATAATAATATAATCTTTATCAAATGCCTCAGGACGCATTCTCGTTACAAAAATATATACCTCGTGTGTTTTTAAAGCTTGAATGAAAAAATGGTTATAATTTCATTTTTTTCGACATTTTATTTTATTAAGAAGACAATAGTTTTTGTATAGAACTTGTCGCATCCGGCCCTAGAGAGTTCACTGCGTGCTCGAAGTCTTGCGCAAAGTCTCTGCTCAGTTGTTTGATAAATTCTATTAAAATGTGTTTTGAATCTGAAACAAACGTAAGAAAAAATATGTAAACTTTATAACATCAGAGGTGGGATATTTTTTACATTTTTGTACCTGTATTTTAATTTTTGAACGTTATATGTTATTTTAGGGCTGTAAATATTATTTAAACTCTATAATAATTCATGTTTGAAAAAGAAAAAGAAAAGATAAAACATACAAACAATTAGAAAAAAAAACTTACCATCGTTTGGCGTTTGGTCCTTGTAATAGATATGAACGGCAACCTTCATGACGTCACCTAGGTGTTGCTTTAGCAGGGGGTTGCCCTGCTGATACAGGGTGGCAAAGCATTTTATCACAGCCTCGTTTTCTTGGAAGTCGTCTCGCAGCGGAAGTTTTTGCAGAAAAGCAGCGAATACCTTGAAGAAGGGCCATGTTAATTTTCGAAACTAGCTATCATACGTTTATACCGGATGGACAGAATAGGATTTGAAATAACCGGTATATAGAAATTTCTTTAAATAAATTTATTCTCACTGTACAAGCACAGATTATGCAGATTATAATCTTTGTTTTTTCTTTATTGTTTTTCGTGGTTCCTATTTTCGGAATCGGGCACTAGTTAGGTTACTAGTTTGCGCACATAGCACGCCCACTTATGGCCTCTAAAATTGTGCACAGCGCCTGACCGGCACAGTTATTAGAGAGATATCGGAAAACCGAATAGCGTCATGCAGTATTTACGCGTACCTTATCATGGTTACGTTAGGTTTCAATTTTTAACGCAACACCCGCTAATAACGTTACCGCCTGATGTAATTTGCGGATCAATTACACCAAGCGCTATTTCTAAATAACGTTTAAAAATTGCTTAAATAGGCATGTGCGGGTATTTGACAATCGGGGCCGGCCGGCGAGATCTTTTATTTTAGGTTATGTTTGAATTGTTTTGAATTATTACTTTAGTTTTATTAGGTAATTTGATATTTAAGTAGCTGGGATTAGTTTTAATTAAATAAATATGGCCCAAAATATGGATTCCACCTCTTCCAATACTAAAGAACCTATAAAGAGTCTTAGGTTTACAGCAGATGACGACTTAGCCGTTCTAAGAGAATTTATTGCTTGTTGCCCTAAACAAAACAATTTCAAAGTTAGTTTAAGTTTAATTAGCGGACGCGACGCGAACAGAATTCTTTCCGATCCGATAACTATAAATGAAGAGAGTTAATACCACCTCACGTAAAGGAAATAACACTCCATGCACGCTATTCGGTTTAGCGATATCTCTCTATTCCGCTGTTTATTGTTATTTTACGCGAGTTTATTTTTACACACAGGAAATTTTACTCCTTTGCTCATCGTCATAAAAAACAATTTTCGTACCATGAATTAGGGATAAGATTTTTATCTGTATACATATAGTATACCTAATCTGTGGTACAAGTGAGCTGAATTGTCAAAATACGATGATATTGAATCGTTTGACTTGTTATTAAATTAGCAATATTAGAAGAAAACTAACTAAACTAATTTTCTAACATCAGAAGTGGGATATTTATTAAAAATTTTGTACCTGTCTTTTGCATTAAGACAGGTACAAATATCAAAAAAGGGTAGACGTCTAAATGCCAACCCCTTGTCAATATTCTTCCTTTTATCCCTTGCAATCACGCTTATAATTCTGTAGATATACAGGGTGAGTCTTAAATAAGTGCAACTATTTTCAGGGCCTGATAGTTCTCGACAAAAGAAACATATTTTCTCTTTACCCTTTTTCAAATAAGTCCAAAATAACAGAGTTATTTTATTTTGAAAATTTCCAAAAAAAATGTTTGCTTAAATTTTAAGAGCCGCTGGATCTTTTCTGGGTTTTCTAGCTTGTAAATTTAATCTATTACCTATGTTGCCATATTATCAAAAAATTATGGTTTTTAACTAAAAAAAATCCTAAAGTTTTTTAAATCCAAATTTTCATTTTTTTTCGCGAAAAAAATATCATTATCGTGATTCTTGGGTCGAAATAAACTAACCCTAAAAATATTTGCACTTATTTAAGACTCGCCATGTATATTGATAAAGAATGATACATTAATAATTTTTAAATATAAGCTTTCCTGATGGGTCGCAATAATTTTAAGATTTCCAGCTTACTATGACGCTTTTTTAGATGACATTAATTCACTTACCTGGTCCAAAGGAATCCCACCAGGGTTAGCCAAAATAATTTTCGCTAAAGCTCCACAAACGTTGTCCAGAGTTCCTGCATGGCTTTCCTTGGCTACAGCCTGGGATAGAGCTTGTAAAATTTCGTTATAATGACTGCAAAAAAAATATTTAAAAACAATAAAATATGTTTTTTTTTTCTGTCAAATGTTTTACCTGAATATTCTGTCCTTTCCATGTAAAATCATCTCGCCCAATCCGAAAATGGAATTGTTCCTAACCTCCTCTGATGAATCTTTGGCACCCGTCAACCACATTTTCAGTAGCTGAGGTACGAATTTTTCGACACAGACGTCAAGGGATTTCATACATTCGGCCAGAGTACCGAAAGCAAAAGACCGCTGACTGACGCTGTTCTGTTTTACCTACATCAGGAAAAAATATGCAGTGTGACAAATAAATATTTCCCATTATACGCAAAAAAATTCGCAACAAATGAGAATTTTTCCCTATCGAGTCATGCAAAATTTTCTGTACAATGTTATTAATATTAACTAGAACTACTTTTAAGGTAACTATTTCCAAATAAAATAATTTAGTTACCGTTCGACTAGACAGTAGCTTGAGTATATTTGGGAAGTAACAAGCGAAATCGTCAGGGGTTATGGCTGCGGCAAATTTAGGTATTACATCGCCTGCAGATTCGAGGAGAAGTTCATCCTGTTCGGCTTCAACGTCGTCCTCGTTGGATTCAGTCTGGTTGCCTAAATCTGTATCCTGACACATGGTCTGAAAAAGAATTTTATCAAAGTATCTTGAAGGAATTACCTAATTAATAATGTCTCTAGGTATTACACATTGTAGAGTTGTTCACTACTTTGAGCCAAAAAAAGGCAAAACGATATATACTGGCACAAAATAACAAGATAACAGGAGTTTAAGATATTTTAATATTACTATAATATCAACAAAATGACAATAAACTAGTGGAACGTTAATAAAAAATAAAGTAGCTATTTTCTTAATATGTTATGCTTGAAAATCCTTTTATAGTTACTTTTTTCAGTGTGCAAGCGAATTTAATTGTCAAAATACGATGCTATTGGATCGTTTAATTCAATTAGATCGTTATTATACAATTAGTATTTTTTATATCTTATGGAGTTCAAATAAAGTTTGTATTTTTAAAGAAAATCGTATTTTCCGACATCAGAAGTGGGATTTTTTTCCTTTTTTACCTGTATTTTATATTAAGTTATTTTAATATTGTTACAATATCAACAGAATTACAATAAACTCGTGAGACGTTAATAAAAAATAAAGTAGCTATTTTCTTACTAAATTATGCTTCAAAACCCCTCGCTAATATTTCCCAAGAAATTTGAAGAAAGACATCGGAAAAATAATCAATAAAATTCAAGATACTTTTTTCGGTGTACAAACGAGTTTAATTGCCGCAATATGTGACTTAAAGGCCAAAAAATTTGGGACACAAACTTAAATGAAGCTGAAGTTTACTGTCACTTCTGTATAGCTAAAGGTATTCCGTACCAATACTTAAATTACCACCACAAGTCAAAAATATAAACAGTATTTAAACAGATTTTAATTTACTTGAAGCAACTTGTAAGTTTGTAAAAAATAAATTTACACAATTGGGTACTACACGATCGAAAAAAAACGGCACTACAGTAACCATTGATATAAAAACGTGTTAAAATTAATATGTAAATAGAAAAAAAATAAAATGTTTCCACACAGGACAAAAATTTTACAGAAAACTAATCAATTTTTTTTTAAATATAAAATGTTATTTATATGTCTAAAAATGTTTGACTTTTTTTATAAATTGAATATTAATTTTTGACAAATTTTTATCTCAATTTTTAATTAATTGAGATAGAGATAGTCCTAATACAGAATTTTTTTTCAATCATACAGTACTCTTCAACACAATAAACCTTTTCATTCCTACCTTCAACGTCAACACATCGATCACGCAATTCATTATAGCCTCTCTGTGACCTTCACCGACAAAAACGTCACCCTTCACTTCTTCCAAAAGTGAAGCATAGGCGTCCAGACAGTTCATGACCACAGATCTTTCTTCGTCCGTTCTTATAAGCTCGGAACATTTGGGCACGAACATTTGCAACGCCTTGTATAGCACGGTTTTGGACTCGGCAGTGTTCACTTTGTGCAGGGCTATGCAGAATTGAAGCAGTGCATCAATTGCGGCCTTGCGGATGTCGTCCTGAGGGTAGTTGACTAGTTTGAAGATTTCTTCAAAGCTTTTTTCGATGAATGGCAGGAATGAGTTGCTATTGGATTAAAATAAACGTCAAATTTAACTAATGATCTAATTTAAGTTTTAAGTAGGTTATTACAAAAAAGTATTATTAAAAATTCTAATAAGACAGTACACTTCTGTAGGTACCACAGAGAAAAATTATGAATTACGGGCTGGGAACTGCCTATGTGTATCATCTGGATTCCCCAGATTTAGTCCCCAGTGACTTTTTATTGGTTAATTAAAAATTGCGCTCAAACAAAAGTAAACGTATAGTTGGGAGAAGTGTGTAGTTTCCCAACAAGATTGTGTAGAGAAATATACATAAATTTTTGAAAAAAGAAACATGTTCAAAAAACTTTCCAGACCACCCTCGTAATATACAGGGTTGTCCGAACTGTATTCCGGAAACTTCAGCAGCATCTTCTGCAGATAAAAATAAGTAAAAAAGTTCTTATAAATGTATGTCCTAAAATGCTTAGTTTCGGAGATACAGGGTGTAGAAATGTCATTTTTATTTCGATTTTTTCCAAATAATTTCTGAAGTAGCGTCAATATTTGGATGAAAATTGGTGTCTGGGAGTTTTTTGGCATAAGAAATTTGATTTTGATGTCAATATGACTCCTATTTGCAGGGAGCGCCACCTACATGTGTTTTAACTGTTTTGAAAGGTAATAACTTTTCGTCCGTACCTGTATAAAAGTACTGAGTGAAAGAAAATACATTTTCGTGATTTTTTACATAAAAAATATCTCTTGGTAAAAATCGCTACGAGCAACCGTTCTCAAGATACTTACAATGGAAATAGTCAATACATGTCATTATTGACTAAAGGCACATTCAGGATGAGAGCGTCGCGTCCGCCCTATTGAACTCAAAAAACCCCGACGCTCAGCAGACGCTAGCGCAACGCCAAACGCGACGCTGTCTGCCTGAACGGTCTAATTTAAGTTAAGTGAATTCATATATATATTAACTAAAGTATATCGACTCCAAACTGCATTTTGTAAAGCCAAAGGGTGAAATGGGTATATACATCTATGTATATAAATCTTCTGAAGGAATTTGCATAAGTCGCTCAGTTATCTGTGCTCAAGCGTAGTGCGCAAGCCTGGATTTTGAATTATCGATCGGATCACCAGACCAATAAGAGACTAGACGCTAGCACCAGCTGTTCATTCGTACGGCTCCGTCCAACTTCGTACGGCTTTGGTTTGCGTTCCCGTTCGACAATTGGCTAATCCTCAGAGTAAGGGTTAATCGATATTCGGAATTTTGGAATTGCGCTGTTGCGCCAGTATCTGCCTAACAGATGAACTTATGTGAAATATACATGAACCCGTTATCTAGTTGTCTCTAACTCGGCTTCAACTCCAACACATTGCAGGGATAGGCGATAATCAGTATATATTTGATATATATATGAGTGAATTGATTTCATTTTCGACACGCGGACGCGACGCTCTCAGCCTGTATGTACCTTAAAAATAAGCATGTTAAGTAGATAATTATTTGACTGAAACGATAAATTTGGAAACTTTTTATTTTTTTTTAATTAATTATAAATGTTTCTTCGAAAAAATTATAAAACAGTTTCTGTTGAACTTTTGGCACAGAACATTTCAAATTTATGATTTCAGACTAATAACTATTTAGTCAACATGTTTAATTATTTCTGACATTGATGACAGGTACTGATAACTTCAATTCCAAATATCTCGAGAACTATTATTCACAGATTTTTACCAATACCTTTTTTACCTAAAAAGCATCGCAAATGTATATTTTTTTACTCACTAGTTTTATACAGATACGGACAAAAAGTTATTACTTTTCAAACCAGTTAAAAATATGTAGGTGGCGCCCTCGACAAGTAGGAGTCATATTGACATCAAAATCAAATTTCTCATGTCAAAAAACTCCCAGACGCCAATTTTCATCCAAATATTGACGTTACTTCAGAAACTATTTGGAAAAAATTGAAATAAAATTGAAACTTCTATATCTCCGAACTAAGCATTTTAGGACATACATTTAAAGGAACTTTTTTACTTATTTTTATGTATAGAATATGCTGGCGCAGTTTCCGGAACACAGTTCTGACCACCCTATATAAATTACTTACCCAGTATTAAGGCAGATTTCTCTCAAAGCCAGACACGCTTGCTCCTTTTCATCATTGTAAGAATTCTCAACGGAGTACCTGCACTGAGTAGAATCATCACTGACAGAAGATTCCCCTTCAATGTCCTCTTCGCCATCTTCATTTTCGTCGGAAAGTTCTGCATAAACGTCAATATCGTCCTTGTCCTCTTCGTCGTAATGTGTCTGCAAAAAGCAGATAGTGTGACACCATCAAAATTTAAACTCAATAATGTCAACATTTCAATAAAAATTTTAAAAAAAATAGTTATTTATTGTACTAGTGTATTATTTTACATATTAGTCACTGAGAAATGTTTTCTCAAGTGACTTATATCACAGAATATCTAGCTACGCAACAGAAGCCTCGTTACATGTAAAAAATCGTAGGTCTCAAAAGACTTTTTAAAAGCCTGTCTCCAAATCAGATATTTTGATGCTGTACTTCACTACTACATAACAGAGGGCGATAAATTTAAAAGAAAACAGTTTCCTACAAACGAAATTTAAAAGAATTTTATGCAGTGTTGCCATTGTGTAATTTATATTGTAATACTTCCTGATAAAACCTACGTTCAAATTTGCGACATCATTTAAACATATTAAAATAGATTGGAGCTCTTTTTTCAAACGTTAAAGTATTTAACTTGCCATGTTAGTTGGAGTTAAATCTTACGAGCTGAATTAAAATCACTTCCTGACGTTTGATTCTAACTGAATCCTAAATTTTGATTGTAATTCGGCGACAATATAATAAGTATTGTTCTACTATTATGACACCACTTCCTGACATTCGATTGTGTTCATACCGTATGATCGGGAAAAAACTGCGTTAGCGATGGCTATGAAATGAAAATCGCTGTCATTTTATGTGTAAATTGATATGGGAAATCTCATCGATCGTCTTTTCACAGCCAACTGGACGCCGTTTTTTTTCGGTATCATACGGTATTTGATATATACTTGCGTATTTTTCATGACATTGCAATATTATGGTACCATGAAGCATATCAAGTGATACCGTAATATAGTACCATATTACGATACATGGCGTTCGATTGGGCTTAACTTGGTATATTTATATTAAGTATCTTCAGTGACATTGTAATATTATGGTACCATGAAGCATATCAAGAGGTACCATAATAGTACCATATACGATACCATTTCCTGGCGTGCGATTGGACTTATACTTGGTATAGTAAGTATCTTCAGTGACATTTTAATATGATGGTACTATGATGCATATAAAGTGGTACCTTAATATAGTACCATATTACGATACCACTTCCTGACGTTCGATTGGGCTCATATTTGACTATACTTGCGTATTTTTGATGACATTACAATATTATGATACCATGAAGCATATCAAGGGGTACCATAATGTAGTACCATATTACGATACCATTTCCTGTCTTTCGATTGAGCTCATATTTGATTATACTTGCGTATTTTTGATGACATTGCAATATTATGGTACCATGAAGCATATCAAGGGGTACCATAATGTAGTACCATATTACGATACCATTTCCTGGCGTTCGATTGGGCCCAAATTTGATATACTTGTGTTTCTTTATTAAGATTTGTTTAATTAATAATTTTAATTTATTTTACGAATTTTAATTTATTGTACGATGTCGTGACAGCAACTTTTATGCCGAACTAATATATTATTAATTGTACCTGTGTCGCTTTTTAAAATCTACCTAGGTCTATATAAATAACATGGCAAACAGAAAAAATTTGTTATTATAGTATTTTTTTAGTCAATTAACATTTTTTGTACTGCATTTTAATAAATCATTTCCATTATTATTAAACGTATATTTCATTACTAACGTTTCAGCATTAATAAATATCACTATCAATCGCCCTGTATATATTAATTTTAAAGGTAATTTAAAGTTATTTTCTTAGTTAACATAAAAAAGTAGTGTATATTAAAAATGTATTTTGAGAGCATATGTTTTCTAATTTATTTTTTTATTTTTATTAGGTAATTTATTCTAATTTTAAAAGCCAAACGAATAATTAATATAAGTGTATCTGACAAGAAACGAAGAATAGAAAGAAATTATTATACACCAGAAAAAGAATGGGATGCCAATTAAAGTCTGTTTGAATCTAGCAACTGTGCATATTTTGCCGAGCTTCAAGGCCGTCGACGTGCCGTCGATCTACGTCGATCCAAAACCGAAAGTTGAAAATTTCCAAATATATTCTGATTATGATATTGTCGCACCATCTAGTATTTTATTTGTGCAATTTTAACTCTTTCATTTCGAGTATTTTTCTGTTGCGTAGCTAGATATTCTGTGCTTATATGGACAAGTTTATTTTGTCACCGCGCTTTCCAGACGCGCATAGCGTTTAGGCGGTCAAAAAAGGAAGTTTTCAACTTTGCAAGTTAGACATTTGACAGGATTAATTAGATTGTCAGTAGCTTTTTCTATTTCTTAGCTCTAGAAGGAGATAACTAAAATCTGTTGATAATCGGAGTAATAAATTGTTTTTGACTGAATGTGCCTGTTCTTTTAGCTCGTCAGAAGAGAAGATTATTGTCTTTATTGATTATTTCAGATTCCACGATTATTCCTCATTTTTGTTTTATGGTTGAGATCCAGACAAAAAGTTTCCTTTAAAGGTAAGTTTTATCTCGGTAATTATATTTTAACATACCTAATAGTAATAGTGAGTGCACATAATAATCACCTGTTCACCCCCAACCAAGTTAGATAAAGAAGATATTGAATATTGCAGCCTTGAGTTGGAGTATGGCAAGGAGTATGGAGTTAAATAAATTATGTTCCTAAACAGTATTTTATTTATATGTTTTAATGCTTTAAAGTCTAATAATAAATTTTCGTTATCAACAAAATAATCTAAAAAAACTACGAAGATTTCTTATTATAAACTTGAAAGATCAAGATTCGGTTTAAATATTAAAATTTTTAATTTTTGGCGCCAGTATATAGGTATGAATTCAACCTACTATATCGATAATGCGCTCATAGTTCGGGTTAGACGCCATAGGCCGCGCCAGTAACACAGTCTTCAAAAATTAACGTTGATCGGTCTCTCTCACTTTAGTTATTAGTGTTCTCTCTGGCACTGACATTAAGACGTCATTTAGTTAAATCGCGATTTTTTAACGATAAAATAGTGAATTACCAACCAGCAAGTCAGATTTAAAAGAAAAATGATTCAGGAAGATCTTCCCCAAGAAATTATTAACCAGGCAGAGGCGGCACAAATAATGCCAGAAAAGTCTCGTGGCGTATACGATAGGGAATTCAAGGCGTTTGGAGAGTGGATGAAAGTAAAATTGACGTCGTAAAATCTGTAAAATTCTTAGGGCTTGTTGTAGACAATTCTCTGAAATGGGACATACATATCGAAGCTTTGTCGAAAAAACTGAGCTCTGCCTGTTTTGCATTAAGATCTGTTTCTAAGGAGGTTAACTTGTCAGTGGCTAGAACTGTTTATTTTGCACTTTTTGAGTCGCACCTCAGATATTCCCTTCCATTCTGGGGTACGTGTTGTGCGACTCAATTTGACCGCATTTTCAAGCTCCAGAAGAGAGCTGTTCTATACTCACTGGGACTAAACAGCCGAACTCATTGCCAGGACTTTTTTAAAAAATTAAAAGTATTAACTCTTCCTTCCTTATTTATATTTGAATCCGTTTGCCTAATACCTAAGCATGTATCAGCTTCTCAAGAAAGGCCATCTCACACTTATCCACTCAGGAACGCGGAGCAAGATCTTTATTTGCCTACCCCACGCTCAGGGTTAGTTAAAAGTTCAATATTTTACAACTCGAAAAAAATGCACAATCACCAGCCATTTGAAATCCAATCCATAACATCACTTTCTTCATTTCGCAAAGCATTTAAATGTTATTTACTAGACAAGGCTTTCTACGCCGTAAATGACTTATATTTTGATAATCGAATTTGATCTTGTAAACACCTGGTCTAGTATTTGCTATTACTATATTTACTATAAACTTACTAAATATTTTTGAATCTTATTTTTATTTTTTCATTCTTTGACATTGTAAACATTTATAAATGTTTATTTTAAACAATAAGACTGATAATGTAATTTGTATACTTGTTTGTATTCTCTTTTGTTTGTTCGTTTGTTTACTTTACCTTTGTCTACAAATTGTAATTTTTTTTTGACAATAAAGGCATTTATTTATTTATTTATTTATTTACATATCAAGTGACTGAAAATAAACACACTTACCACGATTCCCTCGCTGCTCTGGATGCTCTCAATCATTTCCTTGACAATCTTCGGAAGGGCGGGCGATATCTCGTCCTTCATAACAATGGAAAGGGCGGCGAAAAGGGCGTAGACGCTCTTTTTAACGTCTGGATCGTCAGTTTGGTCCAGGATTCTCAAACCAAGCTGTAGGGATTCGGCGGCCAGAGGTTTAAAATTATCCACGCCGACAAACTGTGCCACAACAGCCAATGTTTCTAAAATAATAAATCAAAACACGCCTCATCTTTATATACCTGAAATCAATACTACAATAGTGTGTATATCAAATGAAGGGTAAGGAGAACAAACCGACGGCGACGATGTCCATTTCAGAAGTGCTAAATTGTAATTGAATATATCAGACGATGGCCATACTAAGGGCTGGCAAAGGTTGGTCTTGGGTCGAGATATCCGTATGTAAGAAGAGTACAATGAGTTTCTAATGTACTGAACAAATAGGGAACAGTAAAAAGGTTGCCAAACGTATGAAATAAACCGAGAAACTATGCACATTGCTAACATTGCTAAGAGACGTGGAAGGAGATATAGCAGATTGGTCGCGGCTAATCCATGTACCATGTCAGTGTAAATTCTACAGAACATTTACGATTTTACAGACACGATTTAATTAGGTCTCGTGATACTTCATTTGTTTATTTATTAACGAGTCATTGTAATTTTCCCTATAGCTTGTAAATTTTTAAGTGCAAGTTAGAAACGCTTGCACTTTTTGTAGCAATAAGTGGAATTGAGTTGGTGTTTGACAGTGGTCGCGCTATTACAACTCTCAATTCAAAAATCGATATATCGAAATTCATTAGAAATAACTGATTGTAGTTTTTTTTAAAAAACTTTCTTAATAATTCTGCTACATTTTCTTCGCAAACAGTATGTGAAAATCTTTATAAATAAAAAAGTTACACGATTGCTGAAAATTGCAATGCACTAAAAGTAAATGGATGGGATTTTTTAAACTTTGAATGGAAAAAAACAAGCCTATCGAATTTTTCTTATTTAAATATCTTGTAAAAGATATTTACTTCAAAATAAAAAAAAAGTTTCAATATCTAAAGTAGTTCTTGAGTTATCGCGTGTTATGTGTTAAAAAGTTGAATTTTTACCTTATCGTGATACCCTAATGATATCCTTATAATTCCATTTCAGATGTTAAGAAACATATCTAACGATTTTACATAGTTATCTTTTCGAAAATAAAAGTCTTTTAAAAATAAGCGGTTTGCGATCGTTATTTTACTTTACTTGATATAGAGAAAGGCGTACCGGAGAAATGTGGCAACGCCGCAACAGCACACCGTCGCATTACTCTCACTCGAATTTAATAAGATCCCTATGCGATTTACTTCCACACATGTAAATACCAACTCAAAAGTAAGAGTTGCCAGCAAGGTATAACAAAGCATACAGTAATCACTTTTTGTATCTTTAACATGATATTTGGCAACACTAAATCAGTTTTCTCTTGAATAGCTAAGCTGGCTTCAAATACCGATACAAACATGTACAATACACTTTTAAAGCGTGCTTGAACCTTCAAGTCAATCCCACTCTTTTCTGAGATTGACTGGAGTGAAGCTAGTTTATCGAATATAAATATAATATAAATCAAATCTTCCTGCAATTAATATGAAATAAAGCTTGCTTGAAACACTCAAAATAAACGTGGTCTATTACTTACCTATAGCATAACATTGAATCTGATGCACTTCAGAATTGGGATCCGAATTGATATACACGTTGAGCACTTCGATTGTTTTCTGGAAATACGGCAAGAACCCTTCTTTCACCGCTGTAACTGCCGCCCCTACGGCACTCAAAGCCACCCTTTTCAGCTGGATTGAGAACCCTTGTGGGTCCAGAGCCGCGAACAATCTTTCCATGAGGGTGGGCAAATAGGGCATGAGTCCGTCTTCGAGGTTCTCGCAGAATGTTTCCAGGGCGTAGAAAAGCCGGTCCAGGCTGGGGGTGTCCTTTTTCTCTGTTTGCATTTGCTGGAGGACTTGGGCCAGACATTCGAACAGGACTGGGAGGAGTTCAGAGGCGTACTGACTGATTTCCGGCTAGAGAATTCAAATAATCCTTTTTTTTTTCGTATAAACTCAGTTCAAAAATGCTGATTGAAAATTATGTAGTGTATATTTACATTATTATATACCAGGTATACTCTGTTTTACACTTTCAAGGGTTTTGTCGTTGAACAGACTATACCGATTTGGTCATTTTAAAAGTGTGGTTTGGATTTTAATTTAAGGATTTTAATGTGTAAGAGAGAGAAAAATATAAATGACCGGTTGGCAGACAGAGAGACAAAATCAAAAGCGGCACACAGTGTTGCCGGTTTTTACGTTTGTAGAAAAATTTGTGTAGAAAAAAAAACTATTTTAAAAACTTTCATGTATACTACTAAAATAAAGATAATATATCTAAGCTAAATATATTATATTACATCTGTAGTAAAATGAGTAACTAATTTTGAAAAACAGGGTTCCAACCTAGATGGGACATTTTCCATAAACGCCTACTTGTGCGGTTTGAACGTTTGATGCAAAATCCGGCAATGCTGCATAGAAGAAATGTACCAACCCAAGTTTTATCTTTTTTTAATACATTTCATTTTACATTAAGCTGTTTACATCACTGTCTTACACGTTAAAATCCAGACCACAGTTCTAAAATGACCAAATCGGTATACACATGTAAGCGATACCAATTAAACTTTTAATTGGGAAATCGAGGGCGCGATTTTTAATTCATTGTTGCCAACCATGGATATATTTGGCGCCGGGCTGATTAACTGGAATTTAAATTTCCCGCTGGGAATTCAGGTGGTAGCTCTGCTGTCAAAAATGTCAAGATACCACATTTATTTATATTTATTTCCTGACATTGTCATTCCTTTTGACACTTTAGTTTTGTATTACGAGTTTTTGGTTTAAATGAATTGTGTTGTGATACTTTAAGATTTACTATCAGATCTTGCAGTCGAAGATTGTTCTTTTTAGAAGCTCTTTTAGTGCAGTGCGAAGTGTACAAGATAGCTTAACAGCCGTTGCAAAAACTCATCACAATTATTAGAATAAATTTGAACAGGAAAGCCGTAGTAATAACCCTTTACGTCATCATACTTAAGTGCTGTTAAGGAGGTGAGTTTTGTTGATGTAAATAACAACTGTTTATTTATTTATAATTAATTTATTTTTGTTTCCTAAAATATTTTCATTAAAAGAAAATATGTAAAAGTAGGCAACGCTGTGCTGGTCAAGCTTAATCACGTGACTAAAAGTTTATTTGGTATGAAAGGTACGTCATAGACAAACAAATAAAAAGAGACTGGCAAAATAAATGGCAAAGAGAGGGACAACGTTCCCGTAGCGCAACTCAGAACGCAAAATTTCGTTCTATTTATGTTGATCTGCGCATTGCGTCTATTGAGCCGACTATCTCATTCTAATATAACAAGAAAGAAAGAAGCAGCCATATAAAACGTAATTTCTAAATAGAAATTAGAACAATCGCCTTTCGTTTTCGTCATCATGACAACCAAGATGACAACATCATGACAATTCGTCATGTTTGTTAATTTTTCTTTTCGTGATTTACCTTTTTTTCTAAACTCTCCATTTTATTGACTTATGAATATGGATAGGGAACAAATTCCTTTGTTCCATATAGGTATTTATATTTTGTTACTTATAATTTTAGAATATACTATTTGTTATTTTTTTTGCTGCAGGAGCCAGTATCATCTATTTTCTATATGTGTTGGTGCCCCCTTTCTCTGATAGATATGTTAAAGACACCCGGTAAAATAAAATTAAGTAGTTATATTTATCATCTTATTAAGAAAAAAGTAGAAGTAGTAGTGTCAAAAATATTTCGAACCTATATTAACGTAACAAATTATTAAAATTATTTTTTTTTCCTTTTTTGGGTAGGGAGTTTATAGCTGGTTTATAGTAACCAGAAACTTTATTAATATACCTATTTTACTTTTGTTTTGGGATTAAAACTGGACTTGAAAATGGTTCAGGATCATGATTCTCGTAAAGTCTTCTTTGCTTGGATATTCACTTTGTTATTGCAATTAGGCAGTTTTTTCGAAAATGAGATTTTTAATGCCCTTTAAAAAAATTGGCCGATCGTTTCCTGCAACAGTCAGTTCTTCTGCAGTTAAAATTGGTAGGTGGGTGGAATAAACACTGTTATTTTTTGTTATTATATTATAAAAAGTTTACTTATTTTTATGTATAAATAAATATGTTTATAAAACAGTACAATTTTTTTTTTAATTTCCCTTATAATAGTAGTATTCTTTCTTCTGAAAGAAACTGCAAATTTTCACTTAAACTGATTTATTCCCTACACCACGTTCCCTTTACGTAAAATTAAGTGAAAATTTTCAGTTTCAGAATGAAAGAAAACTACTAATAATGGCTAATTTAAATTTCCCCCCAGCCAGAATGTGCGATAATGTCTTACGATACGTTTTATACCTATCTCTTTCTTTTTCATATAAAGCACACATAATAAAGAAAGATAGCAATAAAGACGTACGTCCTGCCATGGTCCTGCTAATTGGTTTCAAAATTGTTATTCTGAGTTGCGCTACGGAACGCGGTCCCACTCTTTACCATGAGGTTTGTCAGTCTCTTTTTATTTGTTTGTCTATGAGGTACGTTAGTCAAAAGTAAAAATGTCAAGATACCTGTTCTTTTTTTAATATTTTTGGTTTGGTTGGTTGCTTGTAGTCAAAAGTAAAAATGTCAAGATACCTGTTCTTTTTTTAATATTTTTCTAAATTGTAGGTTAAAAATCTTCAAAATAAAGACTCCTATATGACTCTGGACATTGAATAAAGATATAAACAATTCACTAAAGTAATCATTTACCTGTAAGTGTTCAGCAAACTGTCCCAACGCGAACAAAGCTGCGTTCCTAACCACCGGATTAGGGTTGTGTATAGCCGTACAGACGCACTTCAAAAACGGTTCCAAGTACTTGGTTCGGATGCGTTCGGCACAGCCCTCGGCCAGCACGGCCAGCGACAAGTAGGCGGCTTTCTGCGCGTAGATATTCCCACCCTGGATCGCCGGCTCCACCTTGGTCAGCAAGTACGGCACCACCTTCTCCGCTGGGATGTGCAGAGCGATCAAATCCAGCGTCTGCGTCGCCACGGTTATGGAGGTGTATTGATCCGGGTCGCCCAGGAAATATTCTTCGTTTCCCTCGTCGTCGGGTTGTTGCGCCATCAGGTGGATGAGAACGTCGATGATTGGTTCGATTAGCTTGTTTTTTTGGACTACCTGTATGGATAAAAATAGCGATTGATGAAGCGGTACGGTAGCTTGTTTCAACCAGTGATGAGCAAAAACTTGATTGCAAAAGCTTTGCAAATTTCCAAGCAAAAGATTGGAAGTAAATTTAGATAAGACGGAATATACAGGGTGGTCCGAACTGTATTCCGGAAACTTTGGCAGCATATTCTGCAGATAAAAATAAGTAAATAAGTTCGTATAAATGTATGTCCTAAAATGCTTAGTTTCGGAGATACAGGGTGTAGAAGTTTCATTTTTATTTCGATTTTTTTCAAATAATTTCTGAAGTAACGTCAATATTTTGATGAAAATTGGTGTCTAGGAGTTTTTTGACATGGGAAATTTATTTTTGATGTCAATATGACTCCTACTACCTAAATACCTTGGGAAATTTGTATAAATGCAAACGTAAAGCATGTTTGAGGATGTGTTTCAGGAAAATATTTTAACTTCTATAGGGTGGCTCAAAAAAGTGTGAGTGGATTGGGATGATTTTTTTTTAAATTGATAAGATATGAGTAAACATATTTTGGTAGGTTCAGGGATATTAATAAATAAATAAAAATATGTATTTTTCAACCTTTCTTAAAAAAATTAATAAAAATAAAAGAACTGTCCTAAAATCAAAACAATATTAGGTATTTACTTTAGATGGTCTGCACTTACTTTGCTATAAATATGGTAATCGTAAATCATACAGGATGTTCAAAATTCTACGCCAAACTTTCTAAAATATAAAATAATTTTTCTTCGTTTTTTTAAATGGAACACCTTGTATATTAATTTTTCAATAGATGGAGAATTAAAAAATGAACATTTTTTGTATTTAGAGTATTTCAAAATTTTTAACGGCTTCGCAGATATTCGCGCTTTTACATTTCATATGGCAGTTACCACAGTAAATTTTTATCAAAGCCGCCCAAAAAAATAATACTGCGTGTATCTGCTAAACTACTAAAAATTTTGAAATACTTTAAATACAAAAAATGGTCATTTTTTAATTCCCCATCTAATAAAAAAATAATATACAGGGTGTTCCATTAAAAAAAAAACAAAGAAAAATTATTTTATATTTTAGAAAGTTTGGAGTAGAATTTTGAACATCCTGTATGGTTTACGATTACGATATTTATAGCTAAGTAAGTATAGACCATCTAAAATAAATACCTAATATACTTTTGATTTCACACAGTTCTTGTATTTGTAATATTCTTTTAAAGAAGGTTAAAAAAAATACTTCTTATTCATTTATTAATATCTCTGAAATTATCGAAATATATTTACTCATATCTTAAGATTATGTAAAGTGAACTAGAGTAAATCTAATCTAAGACCAAGACCAGTCTAGTTCATCACTACTAATCCAGTAAAATTGTATCGCCGTATAGAGAGTGAAAAAAAATTACGGGCAAGCTGATTTTTTCAGAGTTTGTCAGCGACTGTCTGAGTGTAAAATAAACAAAATCGGAAATTTCCCCCCTGCGGTTTTTGAGCAATAGGGGTGTTTTTTTTTAAACGGACTTAGCGGCCGTTTCATGAGCCCTTTGGGGTGGTTTTCAAAAGGCTTGTTTTACAGCAAATTGACCCGTATGAAAGTTGTTCATAATAAATGGACAAGCAACTTTTCCTCATGAATTTTTTTTGTAGCTTGATTATTTTTGGAGATAGCGTCCAGTTCATGAACAAATTAGGGTAGTTTTCAATGTTACTCTTTTTTCAGCAAATTCACCCTAGGAAACTCGTTCAAAGTAAGAGTACATATACCTTTGTCTTATGAACTTTTTTTGTAACTTGACTATTTTTGGAGATAGCGCCCAGATCATGGACAAGTGGTGGTACCTTTAAATGTCTTTTTTTTTCAGGAAATTCACAAGTGCTATTGGAAATATTCATTCACTTAATGAATTTCATGTTTCGTTTTGGGGAAATAAATACATATCATAGGGAAGTTTGCATGTAATTTTAATATGAACACCTTTAAGTTGGTAAATTTGTAGAACTAAACAAAAATTATGAAACTACCCCAATTTATTCATGAACTGGACGCTATCTCCAAAAATACTGAAGCTACAAAAAAAATCATGAGGAAAAGTTGCTTGTCCATTTATTATGAACAACTTTCATAGGGGTCAATTTGCTGTAAAACAAACTTTTTGAAAACCACCCCAAAGGGCTCATGAAACGGCCGCTAAGTCCGGAAATAATAAACTTATAGAAAAATTCATTAGGCGAACTTATAGAGAATGTTCTTAACTACAATGTGCGTCTAATTATTTTGTTGTAGTACAGTTTAAAAAAAAACACCCCTATTGCTCAAAAACCGGAGGGGGAAAATTTCCGATTTTGTTTATTTTACACTCAGAAAACAGTCGCTGACAAACTCTGAAAAAATCAGCTTGCCCGTATTTTTTTTTCAAATGACAATTTTATTGGATTATACTTCCAATTCGAGGCTACTCTATTTCATTCTTACCTTTCCTTTGGACCTTATAATCCAACCAACCACGCTTATAGCCTTAATTTGAGCACTTGTAGGCACCGAACTGTTACTGCCTAACTGTAGGCACATTTCTACAATCAGTTTGACGTGAGGCGCCACAACGGTTATCGCGAACTCGATCAGCTCTTCCAGGATTTCAAACAGGTCACAGGCGCGTTTCTCGTCCTCTGCGGCAAACGATGTGATGATTTCCAGTATTCGAGGTAACGATTGATGATAAACGTTTATCATCTACAAATTTATCGTATTTTTTAAAGTAATTCTCCTTTAAAATTTGAATAACTATACCTGTTGATGTCCGCTAAGAATTGGTACTAAATTTTTCATGGTTAAAACGGTATAAAATGATAAATTTGAATTCAATTCAGTAATACCGGTCAGAATGTTTGTAAATAGTACAGCAAAAGAATCGGCATATACTATAAATGAACCATGAGAGATCTCCGTCATTATTGATAATGTGTACATTCCCATCTATAAATGATAAAAAAATATTAATTTCAGAGAGATATACAGGGTGTCAAACAAATAGTGTATCTATTTATTATTCGTTGGGTGAATATACAGTGTTGTTCACCATATACGATACGGAGTATTGTAGCTAAACGATTAGATTTTTACAAATTGTAAGTTTTCGGTTCGTTGAACGACTATTAGAGCTACAATTTGAAAATATTTTTACAAGATACAGAGTGTCCCAAATCAGTAAAAATATTATAGTAGTATTTTTTTAAATGGGACACCCTGTATATTATTATATTTTTAGATTCTACGATTAAAATAAAGGTAAATTTGATTAAGGTTAATCGCACTTAAACCTTACCGTTTTTGAAATATTTTCAATTTTATGAAATTGCAGTAAAAATCTTAAGGCTTCATTTCTCCAAAAGTATCGAAGTTTTTAATACTAAACAATTACTGAAGTTTATTTATTGATCAGATATTGTGTTGCAATAATAAACAAAATACTACCTTATACAGGGTGTCAAAAAATTTATATTAAATAATTACTAGCTTCAAACGGCAATAACTTCTTTAATTTAAATAAAACACCCTGTATATTTTAGGAGAATCAGATGCACAATTTAATTGTCTATCAAATTGTGTTATACCATTTATTACCTATCTCTTCAAGTTTTCGTAGAAGTAGCATTTTCTTATAATTTAGACTTCATTTATCACTATACCCATGGAATATTGACATTTTAGATTATTTTTAAAAATGTAACAAATTGTCAAAGAGTACCAGATACTAATATTGTCGATATAATTCGCTTATTTCATTCAAAAAAAATAAGAAAAACTGTTGTAAAATAACATAAAAAAATTAAAACTTTTATTTAATGCATTCACTTAATATTTTGTTTCTAATGGAATAAATAAAGGATGCGCCTATGCGAATATCCCACATACTGTGCAGACCACAATGAGTGGAAGCCCAATGTGTAAGAAAGAGACAGAACAAGGATGTAACGCGTTATTTAATTTCGTCGGTGCTAAACAATCTTAAAAAATCTGCAAATTTTCTCCAATTTGTAGTAAAAAATAATTGTATTGGTTACTTAATTAATATTGCTATTTTTATTTTATTATTTTGCCAATTGTTGTCTACCTTGCTTTGATATGCACTGCACGCCACTGGAGGCTATTATTTTACTATTTTAACAAAAAAATCATCCTAAAATCGTATATACACTACAAAAAGTGATATCTGATAGAAACAGGTGATTTTTCTTACTGATTTCCAGCCAGAAAAGAGGATCATGTTGCTTACTTTTATGTCAATATGACAACGTTGCAATAGAGAATAAAAAGGTTTTGGCGGAGTGAGAAGTTTTATCATTATCATTTAAAAATCTGCTACAGGAAAAAATAATAGTTTTCTCAATACTTATTTTTTTTATTTTACTTTTAAATTTTCTCCAGATATTGTTTTTCCTTTTACAGTTGTAAAAAAACAATTTTTTACATGTAAAAAACGCGTTTCATGTGGTAGTTTACCATTAATGACTACTGTAAAAATACATTTTAATTTATCTCATTACCTTTGGACATTTTATTACTGTTTTTTTTTATTTTCTTTATTTCAATAATGATTTATTTTTATAATTTAAGCACTAAGAATAGAAAAGTTTTATTAGACAAAAAAATCTTCATTTTATTACATTTTATACACTTTTATGGGTTTTTACATTTTTTTTTGGAGTGTATTTTACACCAAAAAAGTAAAAATGAGAAAACACACGTAAAACCACCAGGTTTTTATGTCTACACAAAATATTTTTAATTTCTATTATAACTGTTACCATTTCAGAAGATTATCACTCTGAGCCTAACGTTTTTTTTGTCACTACAATTCAATTAAAGCACATTTTAATTTTTATTATTCCACGCAGTCATGTTTCAGACTATAATTGTCTGACTCACATCCTAATAATCCTCTTAACAAATTGAAATTATTCATGTGTTATATATTTGGACATTTGCTATTGTCTAAGTTATGCACATAGATATTTTTTTTTAAATTTACCTCTTTGTCAACAATAGTGTCACTACTGCATAGTGTATTTACGAATTGCCAAACCTCTGGCCACGTATTCTCGGCAAATTCGTGCTTTCCTATAATTCCTATGAACTGAGCGATAGAATTTTTAACCGATCTTTCTTGTTCGTTTACTAAGGCATGTAGCATACCCTGTTTAATTCTAAAAAGAACAATTATAACATCTTTCATCTTTGCTATTAAAACACGCCTTAATAACACTCTATTTTACCTGTTTCTTAGCTCAACATTAAGCTTAGTCCACTGTCTCCTTTTTCCTAACTTTCTTCGGAGTAAAACAGCTGCTGATTGTCGTATTTGGGGATTTGACGACGTTACAATCACATCGCATATCGCCGGAATAGCCTCGGGCTTCTTGAAGGCTTCTTTCAGTTCCCTTGTACCCTTGTATTAGGAAAAAAATGCGATAAAAAGCTAGATTTGCACGTGCGATGTGAGGTTAGGTAAAAAAATATGCTTGAAATTTGCTCCGTAATTTTATACTGTTACCTCGTGAACGGTGTTGCTGTTTGGCACTAAAAGTTTCGCTAGTATTCCTTCCATTATTTTCTCTTCGTAACTTGTAGATAGTTTTAATTTTTCGGGATATTTAAATTAAAATCACCGGCACGCAACACCAACAACAGGCACGTCTTGTCAAATCTGACATTTATCAACGTGAAGTTAGCGACGAACTAATTCATTCTTCTTTTAATTTTTCAATGAGCCATAAAACAAGGCGGACGGATCACCCAGTTTCCATCGAGCAATAAAACTCTGTAATTTTCTTAAAACTAATTTTATTTTAAACTAAATAATATCTAAACGTTTTGTAGCTCTTTATAACTCTTTGTACTTCGCATTATCTTAATGTTTTTAATCAGTTCGTACATCTCGACGATCAGTATCATCAATCCACTTAATGTAAGTAACACTAGAAACCACTTGAAGTAAAAATAATTGAGTACAATGTATTCGGTGTCTCCCACATTAAATTTGAGTTTGTACGGATTCAAATCGGTCTTAAAACTAAAAACTAGCACCACGCATTTGGCCACGACATCGAAATTCGTGTCCACCGCGTCTATGAAGACTATGTCGATGCCTCTTTGGATAGGTTCAGCACTGTTAAGTGAAAGATTCACTGATATTCCTCCTGTCTCGATTTCATCCAGGGATAATGCGTAATCTTCGTAATTTCCTAAAAAATAGAATACAAACACAACTTTTATACAACCTTTATAAAATATAGGTTTTATAAAGGTTGTATAACAGTTGTATAAGAGTTTTACCTAAAAATACTGTTATTCCTGATTCTGAGTAAGGATTTTGTAGAGTTATTGGTCCATTCAGAACTGTTATTTCCCCGTTTTCGTTTATAACAGCTTTGTATGTCGGTTCTGTAAATTTTATCACATCTTGTCTGTTCCATTCATTGCCGTCCTGAAAAAAATATAAACTTATGATATTTTTTCATGATTTATATTAATATTATAGTAAATTTTGCAAGAAATTTTTACTCCCTATAAGAAAAAGGTCACCCACGGCATTTTGATCCCGAAGAAAAATATTTTTCTACCCCAGAAGCAAATTATATGTTAAGCCACAAAACATAGTTTTGAGAAAAACGAATTTGAAGTTCTTTTTTGAAGTTATATCCTAATTACTTGGATATTTTTAAACCTTTGAGTTATTATTTTGAGAAAAAAGTAGAACATAAAAAGTTAATAAGTAACTTATAGAGTATATATCTCAAATATACTAATTTTAGACCTAAAATAGTTTGCTTATATGGTACAGATTTGTTTGCCGCCTCTGCACATCAAACTATAGCAGGGTTAAATAATCAAACAGCGCTAAAATAATTCATATACATATGATCAAACCCAAGTAAACTACAGGAAATTTACATAAAAATTCTCAAAATTATCAATAGTAGGTACATTTCACGATAAAAAAAATTGCATATTTGTAATTCCTTGTTTATCAAAAATACCCAATGCATTTTTGAATACTGTCCTTCTATCTGAAAGTATATGTGTTTTTTCTAAATGTTTTAAATCGTATTTAGGATTATCAGAAAATAAATATAGGTTTATGATGTCAAGTTATAATAAATATTTTTTTCTTATTAATAACCCATTATAGATAATGTTACTTTGTTTAGTGCATTGTTTTTTTTTTAATTCTAAGGTTTTAATTATTGCATTATTTCCTAATTTCAATTAAATAAACATATATATCTCATAAAATTAAACCAGACATTCAAGTAATTTAGAACATTTTATTATCTTTGCAAACTTATAAAATATTGTGTCATGATTTTAGCGTCTGTAAATAGTATTTTATAGTAAATTTAAGTAAAACCTTACCTCAAAATGCGTAGGTATACCTAATGTAGAATCAAAATGGTTAAAAATTGAAAATAAAACTAATAAACAAACAAAACTTTTAGAAAACATTGTTTTTAGTGATTATAAATAATAAGAAACGCGATAAAGCCAAATTTTCAGTAACTCTAACAAATACATAAGGTATATTTTTACTGGATTTACCTTAACATAGGTATCTAATCAAGAACTGATAAAAATAATCTTTATTAAACAGCCTGATGGTGTATATTTACAATTTACAATATTTATTTGTACTCCAAAATTCAATTTAATGGACTCTTTTATTTGTATTTTATTTTATTTTCCTTATTTTCCAAATTTCAATTATAATATAAGATAATTCTTCATTAAATTTAAATTGATTTCGAATTCTTTAAAAGATTATTTGAAAAATATTCTTTCATTTCAAAAAACTATACATTGCAGGTTTCTGTAAAATAAATGAAAGAGCACCACAGTTTTGCCGATAGAGGGAGAAAGCTGTCTGACTTTGACAATAAAATAACCTAAAAATATCATCTTAAAAATATGTTATGATTTTTATCATTTTTATTTTAAAAAATAAATAAAAATGCCTTTAATAGTGATTACTGGTGTACCATGTAGTGGAAAAACAACTAGATCTAACGAATTAAAGCAGTTCTTTGAGGAGCAAGGCAAAGACGTACATATTATAAGTGAATACGACCAAATCATCAAAGCAGGGTTTGATAAAAATGCCTTTTACGCAGATTCTAATAAAGAGAAACGGGTTAGAGGTATATTAAAAAGTGAAATGATCAAGTTAATATCACCCACGAACGTTGTCATCTTGGATGCTACAAATTATATTAAGGGCTATCGCTACGAATTGTTTTGTGGAACCAAAGCGAATAAAAGCACTCAGTGTACAGTACATACAGAGATTAACAGAGATCAGGCTTGGGAATTTAACGAGAATAGAGAAAACGACTTGGAGAAGTATACAAAGGATATATTTGATGCTCTTGTAATGAGGTACAGTGATTAATTTTTATTATATTATCAATTTTTTTAATTTAATTTTTAAGATACGAGGATCCTGATGGTAAAAATAGATGGGACAGTCCGTTATTTACAGTGTTTCCAGACCAACCCTTGGATACAGCAGGAATATATTCGGCCTTGTTCAAAAAAGCACCTCCAAAACCAAACATGTCCACTCAAAACCCACCATTGAGCTCAACAAATTTCCTGTATGATTTGGATCGAATAACAAAGGAAATAACTGATAAATTAATCCAGTCTAAAAATGAAGGATCAGATGGTGATATTGAAGTTTCAGGATATATAGATCTGACAATTGATATTTCTGATGTTTCCGTGCAACAGTTAATGTTGTTGAGGAGACAGTATTTGACGTATTCGAAAATGCATACGCCAGAAGTTAGTAGGATACCTCAGTTGTATATACAGTATTTGAAAACCAGTTTAAAATAAACGTTTTTATTCTTGTTTAATTTTTACAAGCACCATAGTAGTAATATTCATGTAGATTCATAAGTAAATATTCTGTAGATTACGCAAAATTTCGTGGTCCATCCATAGGGAAATATCCCGTAAGAAATGAATAACAATCAAATTTAAATACTTTATATTTGTATTATACATTATACTAAAGATAGATCAAATCAGTCCAAAAAACTAACATACTTTCGGCAGCACTATTTTAACAAAACAGGAATGTTACAATTTAGTGTGTCACTAACAAAAAAAAAATGTATCAAACACTTCGACGTTTCAACCTTACCATAAAAAATAAATCACAAATATAACTATAGTATAAAATACACAAAGAAAATATATACAAACTTAAAATATTTTTACTGCTTATCCTAAAAATATTATTTGGCTGAATCTAAAGAACTATGTACAGGGGAAAAATACTTTTTTTATTCCAAACAAATGTATACTATTTTTCTTTAAGAAATTTACAAGCTTACCAAAAAAAAAACAGTATCATAGTGGCTTTAAAATCGAAAATCGTTCGTAATTTCTGTCGGCCCGATTTTAAAGGCTACCACGACGCAGTTTTTTTTCGATTATAGAGTATAGTTCAAATAAAACTATCGTTTTTGGGAATCAGTTCAGTCTTTTCGCATAGGTTATTGTTCACTTACTTTTAACACTAAAATGCCATTGAAAAACAAAATCAATATACTGGATGTCTCAAAAACAGGACTATTTCAGGCCTGACTAGAACGACGTCAAAGAGAAATACTTGGAACAATTTTAAAGGCACAAATCACTAGTATACACGAAATTTATCCTTTTTTCTTGGCTGCTATATGCTTATTTTTGATGATTGAAAATGTGATAACTGTATAAGCTTTCCTTACAAAATGTACCGGGAAATCCTGAACCTTCACACTGGGTTTTCTTATGGAAATACAGATGAGACTTGTTGGTAAAAGCTTTCCAACAGCTTGTATGTTCTATCATCCACGTCCATCTGCTGCATATACAGAGGTCTATAGTTTCCAGACATGTTGATATTGTTGATTGGTTCTTGATATCCAGGATTCTTCTTCTCATGTAGTTCTTGCTAAATTGATTGGCATTTCTGTTGTTTTTCTGAAAACCTCTAATGTTGCAATGCACAAAACACTAGTATACACAAAGTTCATTCGTTTTTCTTGGCTTTTGTGCTTATTCTGGATGGCTGTAGAAAATATGAGAACTGTAAGCTGCCTCAGTACCAAATCTTTTCTTACAGAACGGACAGGGAAACCTTGAACCTTCACATTGGTTTTTCTTATGGAAATACAGATGGGATTTGTTGGTAAAAGCCTCCCAACAACTAGAACACTTGTACGTTCGATCATCCACGTTCATCTGCTGCAAATTTGGAGGACCATAGTTTCCAGGCTGTTGATGATGTTGCTGTTGATTAAGAGGGGGAGCATATGGTCCCTGGTATCCAGCATTCCCGTTATAATTTCCTGTACTGTGTCTCATGTAGTTGTTGCTGGTCGATTGGCGATGTAGCTGTTGTTGTTTTTCAGAGAATCTCTTGCTGATGCTTATATTAGGGTTGTTCTGGACCAGTTTCATGATGTTCGGACTCAGACTTCTTTTGGGTGGAGGATTATTCTTGGCGATCGGCGTGATGGATACTGCCCCGCCACCTAGTTCTCTTGGAGGTGGTACTGGGTTATATTTCTGCGGTGGAGAAGGCGGTTCCTCGTGTCCTTCGTGTATTTCTACCATTGGTTCGAAGGTATCCACAGGTTCTTCTTTAATCTAAGGTAAAAAAAGAATAATAAAATTAAATACTTTATATATTTTTTAATTTTATTTGAAAATTACCTTTATATCCTCAAATTGTGGATAGTTATTTTGCTGTCTTGGTTGGTAAACGTTTCTTTGCTGTGGATAATTAGCCCTTTGCATTTGCTGTTGTTGTTGTAAACGCTGCTTTAGTATGTTCTGAAATTTAAAAAAAATGGTTATAACATAGAACCTGTATAATGTCCAAACTAAAATTTTATCATTTTTATTAATTTTTATGTGTATCTTTTTTAAATGAAATTAACTTACACTGTGTGACTGTTGTGGAGGATGAAGAGCAGCGTGTCCCATTCCCGGTAGTTCCCCTTTATGGATCCTCATGTGACTATTTCTGGAATAAATTGTTGGGAACGGAGTACCACAGATATGACAGATGAAACTCTGACCGGAATGCTTCACCGTCTCATTCAACAGCTGCTTAGGAATATAAACTTCGTCCTATAAATCAACACAGAAGAATTTTTATTTTGAAAAAAAATTAACGTATTGTCGAGGGAAAAAATGACGTCATGGTAGTCATGGCGCAGACGTGCTAATCGATGATAACTCTGCGCATTTGAAAACAATTTTCTATGTCAGTTTATTATTAATGACATTTAGGTAAATTATCATCGTTCAAAGGCTGCTATGACACTGTTTTTTTTTGAATATATGGAATTAGTTATTTCTTACAGTATATTATATGGTCCATATTATCTATGACACCATTTCTGACAGATTTAAAAATTTCTTGAAAAAAAAAAACGCGTCAAGGTAGGCATTGGAATACTGATCGATTATAAGTTTGCAACAAAGTTATTTGGAAAAAAGCTTTTAGCCGATTGAATGGACATCTCGGTGTCTCGACCCAATTAAAATTACCATCGTTCAAAGGCTATTATGACGCTGTTTTCTTCGATTCTATGAAATTAGTTTATTTCTTTCAGTACATGGTTCATTGTCTTTGCCGCCGACGGATTTTTTTTTGAAAAAAAAAACGGCGTCAAGGTAGACATAGAAATACTAATCGATGATAATTTTGCATGCCTGGAAATAAGTTTTTTATGTCGATTTACCATAAATAGTATCTAGGTGTCGAACCAAAAAAAATTATCGCCGTTCAAAGGCTATTATGACGCTGATTTTTTATTCTACGGGATTGATTAGTTTATTTCTTACAGTATACGGCCCACTATCTTTAACGCCATTTCTAATGGATTTTAATTTAGAAAAAAAAACGGCATCATGGTAGGCCAAGAAATACAAAACGATGATAATTTTGTCTCTTCAAGACTTATTCTATATAAAATATTCCTTTATGGTGAGGTTTATGTCAATTTCTTATTAATTTATGGACAGACGATATTTCAAAGGTTACTCCGACTTTGTTTTTAAATGGTAAGTATAGTATTTATTGTATTTATTTAATTCTTATATAATTTTTTTTATTTAAAATTTATGAAAATTAAACATCGTGTAATTGAAAAAAAAACAGCGTCAACATAGGCGTAGAAATGCCAAAACGATGATAATTGTGTGCGTTTTAAAACCTTTTCTATATTCAATATTAATTTTTGACAAATTTTATGTCAATTTCTTATAGATTTATGACCGATCTGACTAAAATTACCACCGTATCGCCATTTCAAAGACTACCATGACGCCGTTTTTTTTTATTTTTTTTTTATTTCTTACGGTATATGGTCCAATGTCTTTGACGCAGTTTCTGATTGGTCTTCCAGCGTTGGTGTATTCTCCATTGGATTTTCGTTCAGGCGGATGTGGTTGACGCATAACGTTGTTAGGTGGTTGCCTAGGTGGATGTTGATTGTTGGGCGCTGGTCGGTACGACGGAGCCGAATTGTTGAATTGACTGTAATCGCAATTTTTGCTGTGCGCGTTGAATTCGTCCAGTTTGAAGAAAACCTGAAAATTTAGGGAAAAAATCAATCTAGCAACACTGTATCGCACTTAAAAATCACTTACCTTATAGCATTTTCTGCAAAAGTAAGCTTGGTTCTGATTTTTCACTTCAGGACCACTACTAGGATAATCTTTAGGTTCCTGTTTTATTTTCACAAAGCTCATTGAATTATTCTGAGGCGCACCCTCAAATCTAGACTTGGCCACCAGTGACGTGCCTCTGGGTACTTCGTCCGGCAAAAAGTCCTCCAAATATATCTGAAAACGCGCAAAAAAAATTATAAACCGTACTATTGAAGAAAAAAAATCGTCATAGTAGCCTTTGAAAAGTTCGAAGGTTGCTGTGACGCTGTTCTTTTTTTCGATCATACGGTACTTTACCTGTCGTGCCGGTTCAGGATCACCGTGAACGATCCTTCTCACTTTGTTAGGCTGAATAATCTTTGGTAAAGTGTTATTCACTTTGCTAGCAGTGAAAATCTTATCGGAAACTTGATCGCCTTTTTTTACATGGTTCTCCACATGTTCTTCATATCTGAAATAAAAAAAAAATAATGAAAAAAATAAAACATAAAACAAAATTAAAAATAATAATTAGTAAAAGATGAAAATAAAATAAAGGGTAATAAAAACAGAATAAGAAACAAAAAAAAAAGTTAGTTACCTGTGTCTTTGTTTATTAAACCTCATACCACAATATTTACACGTGTAATGACAGGCTGACGAAAAATAATGACTCTCTATAGCCCAGTTGTCTTTGAAACAATATCTGCACAAAGTACAAAACCGTTTTGTTTGTCCTCCTATTCTAATACATTGATAGAACGCTTTTCTTTCTTCTTTTTCATAGTCTCTCAAAGATATTCCATTCACCTAAAAACGATACACATTATTCCAAAAAAGAAATATAAAAAATATGTTTTGTTTTACCATTGGTTTCATATTAACCAAAACGACTTCGTCTTTCTTCGACATGTCCATAGTTTTTTCACTTTTTTCAACCAACAGACTCGTTTCCTCTTTGTTACAAGTCAGAACATCGACCACAATATCTTCCTCATCATACCTATTAATACAAATTTAATTAAATTAAAAAATTAAAAAAAAAATAAAGTCAAACTTACCCATTTTCGTCAAAGAACGTGAGCCACTGGTTTCTGATCTTAGCAAACGGATGCTCCTCCGTCCATGGAACAGGGTTGTCTATTTTCTCCTCCATGTCTACTTCGATATGACTTAATTCATGCAAGGCTAATAATTTCATATTTTTAAAGCCTTCCCCACACGTAGCACACTTGCAAGCTGTGGGTTTTTCTACGAAAGTTACTGGTTCATAGTCTGGAACGTTTTGGACGTTGATTGAGTTCAAGGCAATTTGGAGCAAAGTTAAGGGCTCAAATCTGGAAAAAAAATATTTTTAACCCTGTATATACAGGGTGATCCGAACTGTATTCCGGAAACTTCGGCAGCATATTCTGCAGATAAAAATAAGTAAAAAAGTTTGTATAAATGCATGTCCTAAAATCTGTATCGGGAAAAAATCGAAATGAAAATGAAACTTCTACACCCTGTATCTCCGAAACTAAGTATTTTAGGACATAGTACATTTATACAAACTTTTTTTACTTATTTTTATCAGCAGAATATGCTGACGAAGTTTCCGGAATACAGTAGGGACCACCCTGTATATATTAAAAAGTTTGAAAACTACATACGTCGTATCGGGTTCTTCTTCAAACATTTCTACGTAATTGATAACTCTCTCAGGCACCTTTTCTTCTTCTTTTGGTTGAGTTTCTTTAGTCTCTTCAGTCTCTCCAGGTTTTTCAGATTTTTCTTCATTTTCCCCTTCTTCAGGCTTATCAGCATCGTTTCCATTTTCTGTGACATCGTTTTCTTTCAACTTAGCCACCTCCTGGTCGATTTCTTCTTGGATTTTTTTAGATTCACTGTCAACTTTTCTTCGTTTTACTGGTCTCTCATCTACCGATTCTTCAGAATCAACTTCGCTAGCGAATTGGGACGATTCTTCCTCTTCCTCACCTGTATAAATTCCTTTTGTAAACGATTAAGGCGGGTTTAGACGAGTCAAATCAATGGATCAAGTCACAGGAATTCAACTGACTTGAAAGCCATTTTCCCAGACATTTCATACCATTTAAAATAGTGACAGGAATTTTAAAATAAATTAAAATAATAAATTTGAATAAATAATATTTGGGGCATAGTTCCAAAAAAAGCCGAACCGCTCCGAAATTATCAAAAGCTTTGGAGAGCGACCCTTGTAAGAATAGTGCCAAATAGTATTTACATTTTCCTTATGGGCACTTTCCAATCTAAACTTGTTTTTTTATCTTCAAACTGTTAAAATTTTGTCAAGTCGGAATAAAATTCTGTAAATTTTATTAATATTTATTAAGAATAAAGTAAAGTTTATTATCTGATTTGTTTCGAGGTTTACAAAAAATATTAAATAAAAAAGTTATAGGGAAGGTTAAGATATATACACATTCTAAAATTATTATAGAGTATACAGAGTGTTTCAAAAAAGTGTGGCGGATATAACGTATCCTTTTTTAAATACGATACCTTATTTTTTATTTTATTTTTAGGTTCAGTGTAAAATTCTAAATATAACTTCTTTTATACAGGGTGGGTCCGACCTGTATCCCGGAAACTTTGGCAGCATATTCTGCAGATAAAAATAAGTAAAAAACTTTGTATAGATGTATGTCCTAAAATGCTTAGTTTCGGAGATACAGGGTGTAGAAGTTTAATATTTATTTCGATTTTTTCCAAATAATTTCTGAAGTATCGTCAATATTTGGATGAAAATTGGTGTCTGTGAGTTTTTTGATAAGAGAAATTTGATTTAGATGTCAATATGACCCCTATTTTTAGGGGGAGCCACCTACATGTGTTTTAACTGTTTTAAAGAGTAATAACTTTTCGTCCCTACCTGTATAAAACTGCTGAGTGAAAAAATATACATTTCCGTAATTTTTTACGTAAAAAATGTCCCTTGGTTAAAATCTCTAAGAGCAACCGTTCTCAAGATATTTAGAATGGAAGTGTTAATACATGATTATTGTTATTTGGCTGAAAAGTTATTACTCTTCAAACTAGTTAAAAAATATGTAGGTGGTGCCCTCTACAAGTAGGAGTCATATTGACACACCAAAATCAAATTTCTCATATCAAAAAACTCCCAGACACCAACTTTCATTCATATATTGACGTTACTTGAGAAATTATTTGGAAAAAATCGAAATCAAAATGAAACTTCTACACCCTGTATCTCCGAAACTAAGCATTTTAGAACATACATTTATAAAAACTTTTTTACTTATTTTTATCTGCAGAATATGCTGCCGAAGTTTCCAGAATACAATTCGGACCACCCTGTATATAAAAAAGTTATAGAATAATATATAAGATAAACTTTCTCTCAATCCTATTGCCAACATTTTGGCAGTTTGAACTACAGTCTGACACACTGTCGCCATTTTTAATCAACTAACAGAAGTTTTTTACTATCAAATGTTTAAACACGAATTAGTTGAATTCCTGTGACTTGATCACAGTTCACTTGACTATAATAAAAACATGCATTTAAAGAAGGAAAAATTATTAAATGTAGACAATTATTACCTGCAGTATGTCTAGTTAAGTCTGTCAAACTACTGCATAGTGAATCGTCAAGTTCATGATACAGAGGTTGTATTTTTCTTTTACGTAATACTTTTTCTGTATCAGCATCTTCTAAAATATAATTTAAAGTTAGAAATAGACCGAAAAAAACCGGCGTCACGGTTGTCTATGAAACGATAACTATTATTTTTCATGTATTTTTTTTTTAAATAGTATTAAGACTTCTTCATAGACTTTTTATTCAAAGATTGCGCATTATAAAATTAAGACCAAAAGAAGGAATTGACATTTCAAAGGCTATCATGACATCGTTTTTTTTTCAATAGTACACCAAAGTACAACCAACCTGTGATAACTCTATTTTTCTTCAGAGATTCTGCAATAATCTTATGCAGATTTGTAGAGAGTTCTACATCTCCATTCACTGTGCTGGCGTCCAAAATTGCTGTTTTGCAATTGGAGCACAGTACTGTCAGATCCTCGGTAGATGTGCCCTGATCTTTGAGCTCTTCTTCCTCCTCATCTTCCTCTTCGGTGTTTTCAATGAGCTGGAAAGATTTTTTTTTTAATTTCGACAGCAAAAAATGTTGCGTATGTGATACTTTTTGTATTTTGAAAGCTCTGTATACTCAAGTATACTGTATCTTTTGAATTTTGATGGTTTTTTGTATTCGGAAGGATGCCAAGTTACTCTAAGGTTACTAGACTAGTATTTTTTTGATGCCTTTCCCAAAAGAACCAGAAATTTACTTCATAGTAAAGACCATAAATCGATGGTATTTTTTTAAAGAGATAATTCTTATTAAACATTTTATTACATGACTTTTTTACACAAGTTTTAACGATCTGTAATTATTGTCAAAATGTAATATGTAATAAAATTCTTACTATGCGTATACCTACTACCATAATATCGAGAAAAAAAAACGGCGTCAAAGACGGCTGAGGAATAACAATCGATGAAAATTTTGGCGAAGTCAAGCTCTATACATCCATTACTCTTCTTTATTTTTTAATGGCGCTTACTGTCAGTTGGCCTGAAGAAGGTTGTAATTTATACCGTATGATCGAAAAAAAAAACGGCGTCAACGGTGGCTATGAAATGAAGATCGGTGTTATTTTATATGTATATTTATATGAGAAATGTCATCGATCTTCATTTCCCAGCCCACTGGACGCCGTTTTTTTTTCGATCATACGGTATTTATAATGAGTAAAAAAAATAATTTTTTGGGAATAGATTTGTGTATCTGGAAACATTCTATCCTTTTTTAATCTTTCCATAATTGGTGTTAATTTTTGACAAGTTTTATGCCAAATTTTTAGTGAATGACGTCTAGAGATTGACGTCGCCAAAATTATCATCGATTGTCATTCCCAGCCATCTTTGACACCGTTTTTTTTCGATCGGTATTTACCCTTTGCTAGTATTTATACCGGATGTTTCATAATTGCCTCTTACCATTGGAAATCCAATAAAAAAAATCAAACAAATCGTCGTAATTATTGGGCTCATTGACACGCAACTTTGGGCTACCCTGTATCTCTTACCGTTTCCAAGCTCCCAGTGGTGATAGTCAAATTTGAAACACCCGGTATACAAAACAATATGCATTGGTATTTTCCCTTAGATTAACAGTATTTTCATATTACTCTGTATCACCAATAAAAAATGATTTAACTCAAATATACAGGGTGTACCAAAATAAGCAAGTGATAACATTGTTAAAAATAAGGAGGATGTGTCTTATAAGGTGTTAGAAAATTATTTGGTGTACTATACAGGGTGAACCAAAAATCACAATACTAAAAACTTTTTTTTTTAAAAAACGGTTTGCACTAAAAAGCTTGCTGTGTAGATGTCACTTACTAATCAAATGGAGTTTATAGGCAGAATGATTATTTGGGTATATCATATACAGGGTGTCCAACAGCTACCTATCCTACTTGCAATATTTTATTATATTTTTTATTCACTGACAATTTTGAAATAAAAAAAAATAAGTGTCTCAAAATTATTTGGTAAAATATAAAGTTTGATAAAACTACCTTAATTTATGTCATAAAATACAGGGTGCTTGAGATATTTCAAAAGAATGAAAAAAATATACTGCACTTAGTTTTGACTCAGCCTGTACATAACTTACAACATTGTGAATCTACTACTATTGTAATTAGTTCTGAGAAGGCCGTTATTTTATAGATGTTGGAGAGAAATAAATGTGCATTTTTTTTAAATGCTCATATTTAAAAAAAACACAGGGTATAAATTATTATGATACGATGGTATCTATAATATTAAAAAATATATATCATTCCATTTAAAAAACTATAACTTTTGTGTAAGAATATATTTGAGCCACCCTGTATATCTATAAAATGATTCTTACGATGTGCTAAACCATTGCCTGCATAATTTTCTATAAAAAATTGGGAGTGCAAAATAAACAAATTAGAAAACTTGATAGAGCTTTTTCACAACATTGGGCCACCCTGTATGTTTTTGTTTATCTTACTTTGTTTTATCGTATTTGTTTTACACAATCATAAGTCAGTCAAGGTGCATTGTACTGGATCAAACACAAACGAATTTATTTGATCCATGACATGACAAATAACGTTAGTCACTTTTGACAGACAAAGTGATCAAAATATAATCAATTTTCCATAAATAATTTTGATTTATCTTCAATACTTGACATACCTACATATGTTGAAAGTGAGATAAAGCAACAAAAAGCTAAAATCTAGAATGTAATTTCACCTGCATATTTTCTACCAAAAATTAAGGTGCAAAATAAACAAAATAGAAAGCTTGATAGAGCTTTTTCACAACACTGAGCCACCCTGTATGTTTATTTATCTTCTGTATGTTTTTTGCACAATAATTAGTCAGTCAAGGTGCATTGTATTGGATCAAAAACAAACAAATTTATTGGATCCATGACAAATAACTTCAGTCACTTTTGACAGATAACTAGTGATCAAAATATGATTCATTTTCCATAATTAATTTTGATTGATCTTCAAAATATGACAAGGGTACATTCATTGGCAATCAGGGAAAGCAAAAATCAAGGATGTAATAGTAATTCCAATAAATTATGATGGCAAGTACCTACTGAATGTGATGTGAAGTTTCATCATACTATTGGGAATTACTTTTGGTTTGGCTGAATAAAAATAAGGTAATTGTTAAGTAAATTTTCCCAAATACTTTAGGATTTAGTGTCTGGTAGGTAAATACTAAAAAGCTAAGCAACCAATCTAGAATATATTAAGAACAGAAAAAAGAAACTGACCTTGCTACCGGTGCAACCAAGAAAAAGTAGGACATTCTTGTCAGAAGTATCCACTTCGTTTTTCAACTTTTCCACGTACTTTTCCTGCGTGTTTTTGCTCCGTTTCTTCAAACTACTGATAATCTGTAAATTCTCCACGCACCTCTCGCACACCTGCTTGGATAAAGGATCCGACTTGTACAGCTGTAACAAATTTCCAAAACGATATCGATATTTGTTAGGTTAAAATCGCCAAAACACTCACGACAATCGGCAAATTCTCCTTAATGAGCCCGATCAGCTGATAACCTTCCGGATTCTCATCGAAAATGTTGAACATTTTCTCGCTGATTTCGTCGCAAATGCGGCAAGTTTCCACTTCAACCTCCATTTCTTGCGGTGGTGTAATGTCCCCATTATCCGTGCCGTTATGTTCCGAATTGATATCACTTTCAGCTGGCGAAGGAGACTCCTCCATTATTATCACTGTTTTTAAATTAACGCACTCCAAAATACAGGGTTATGTTCACGCCGAATTAAAATAAAAACACCGGCTCTTGTTTATAGAGTTTTATGTCGCACGAATTCCACCGGAGATCCAGCCGTCGGCCATGTTGGTTTCACAACTCGTCGTGGTTCAGAAAGTCGTCGCTGGAGTCGTACTCGTCGCGCTCAACAATCCGAAATCCGAAGCCGGTGCAAACCTAATTAAAACGCACGAAACACAAGCGTTGGTGGTGATTGGTGATTTTTTAACGACTTTTAGCTGAGTCTACGGCGTCTCTAGATCGCCGGGTTCAGGTACTACTTCCAACTGGAGCCGTCCTCGAGCGATGTGATCGATGAACGCGCGCACGGAAACACGACGTTGGCGTTGGACTCCCTTTCAAGAGGAACAGATGAACTGAACTGAACAACAAACGGCCGACTACGACAACGAGGAGCAGCAAGCAGGCAGCGTGTTGCTGTGTAGCGTTGCCAGTGGGTTTGGCTCAGGCAGGCACGTTTGGCTAGCGGAGCTATCGATCGAGGCAGGCTTGGACGAGGACGAGTGAGGATATCGAGGCAGGGTTGACCTTTTTGATAAGCACCTACTTGATCGCCGTGGGGCTACCCACGCCGCAAGGGGAGCCTAGGGGCACATGGGCGTGTCTTGGAGAAGTCTGGAAATTGTACGGTGGATTTGGTCCAGCCTCTGAGTGTTTGGTGTGATTATGGATGGGTATTAATTAATTAGGACTCTAATTAAGAAGAGGTATTACCTGTTATTGATCAAGTTTTGGTGGATATGGTGATGAACAGTATATACCGTGGGATCAAAAAGTTTTATGATGGTGAAAGTTGGTCTTAGTGTGGACTATTTGCTCCAAAACGTTTTTTATTGCAATTAGATGTAACCCAAGCTCACTAATTTGTTGGACAGGAAAAACCAGTGAAGAATGGATAAAATGTGGAAAGAATTTGGATGCAAAAGGACACAGGACAGAAGATCTGTTGTACTTAGTAAAAATAAAACCTGGAAATGAATTGGTGTTAAATCGTATCGCCATAAAAAACAATTCTGTACACTATTCTATCAAAATGCCAGCTTGGTGAGCCTAATTGTAGCATGTTGATGAGCTGGATCCTATTTTGCTTGACGATATATTGTACATCTACAATTCTCTAGAACCATCAGTGCCTAGTTACACCATATTGGACAACAAGCAAAAATAATGATTCAAATATTATTTTATACAACTGGAAAGGAGTATACCTCAGTAGGACAGAATTTATGAAAAAAATACACATGATGATAAAGACCTTATTGATGAGGACATAGTCACTGTTCTAGATATTCAAATAAGTATTTTTCTGTTTATCGTTCGAGTCACAGAGTTATTTAAGAAACTGTAACAGCTCTTGGTGATTGCCATGAACTATTCTACATATTGTAAAATGCTGTATTTCAATTGAAACCTATTTTTTATTGAGCACTAATTGGTTAGTCCTTGAAAATAGTTGGTTATCTTCTATAATGATCATACAAAGCTATTTAGGAAGCTCTAAAAGTTCTTGATGATTAGGAATACCTTCCAAGATCCTATAATTATAGTGAAATTAATTTTATTTTATGGAGTCCATTAACTTTTTGCGCAATATATCGCAAAAGGATATCTTCAAATAGAACCAAACAATGAAACACTAATTTATGAGTACCCATTATATGGAAGAACCATCAAAGAAACATTTACATGGCATTATGTCATTGTTTGATTTAGTCATTGTGAGTCATTGTCTGGTTATGTTTATTTTTTTCTCGTTTTGCTCACCCTGTAGAACCAAAATGGGATACACACTTTTTTTGGAGGTATAAATGATTCTCAATAAGAACTATCCAAGGAGCTGTTAAAGCCATTTACTTAATTTTACTAATAAATTTATTAGTAAATCTATCAGACTTCCAAGGATATAGATCACATCCAAGGTAGAGAATTTGTCACAGGTAGTCATAAAAATTCATGAAACTATTGTTGACGATTGCAATTGAGGCTATTGTAAATTTTATAGTACGTCAATATAATTTTTATTTGAAATGACGAACAAGCTCGTATTACAGACTGGTTTGACTTAAATATCTACAAACCATAGGACATAAGAATTGTTTGTATTTGTTCCAATCTGCTTGGCTACTTTGCATCATGTTATTATTAGCATTTACTTTAAGCCAAGGTCATAAATGAGCAGAATAACAGATAAATGTGAATCACCTCCTATATGGACGTACATCTGTTCAATATAATGATTAATTTCGTATCCAAATTCAAATTTAATCAAGAAAATTTGTATTTCAAAGTCTACAACAGTGTAGAAAGTCTATAGAATACTGAAACAACCTATCAGTTCTAGGAATTCCAGAAAGAAGAAATGCTAGTTATAAAATGATGTGCACGCTACTGCACAGTGACGTAGTTCTAGAATGAACTGTAAACCATCACTTCAAAGGATTCATGGCACTAATTCAGCTGTAAAAGATAAAGCTATCTTTGGAGAAAGTATGCCTTATCGTATATTATTCATAAGTTATATCTCAAAATAGATGAGAAACCATATTGGAAATATAGTTTTCAACTCTATGAAACCTTTTAACAAGACTGCGTTGTTTTATCGCTAGAATAGTGCGTTACAAACAAAATCCAAGCTTGTTTGTCTCCATTATGTCGATCAATAACGTACTTTGTACTGAGAGAGAACTGCAAAATAAATACATTGTAGTGCATAAGTACAAGTTGAATGCACAATGAATGTACTTACAGTAAAATGTTAAGAGAATGTGCTACATAAGGTGTATGAAATATGATGCGAATAATGAAAGGAGATACAATGGAAACCGGCGTAGACGTATATTGGGTGTTTCCTGTGCTCCTTGGGTTAAAGACATTTGAACTATGTTAAATGACGATTCCAAAGAAAGAATGAACTGAGTTTTATAAGTTTTTTTTACTTAAATAATGTTTATTTTTATCATGAAGTATTTTTATCCATACCAGGGTATTTTCAAAAGTTTCCGACATGACAGTGATAGAAAACAAAATATTATTATTTTATTTTTCTATGTAATCTCCTAACTACACACTTCAACTCGTCTCAATTTCCTCCAAACCAAACCAAACATATCCAAATAACAATTAGAGTTTTTGTCAGTAAAATAACTACTTATGCAGGCGATAACCTTCTTGGTTGACGAAAATATTGGCCTATCGAGTGAAATTTCCAGCTTGGGAAATAAAAATAAATTACTAGGATCTAAATCTGGCGTTTACGGAGACATATGGTCTAGCAATTCACACTGTAACTCACTAATGTTCGTCATGACAATTGCAGAGATGTCTTTTCTGCAGATGTGGATATTTTGCTACAAATTCTGTCTTGAATTTGTCAACTAATGATGCGTAGTATTCTCCTTTAATGGTTTTCTCTTTCTGAAAATAAAAGCTATAACTTTTCCAGAACTGGTATGGGGTCATTTCCTGTTTAGTAGTCTATTGTTTCTATTCCTTTTTTTGTTTCGGGTATCTAATGATGCATCCATGTTTACAGTACGTCTGTCCGTTCTGTAGCTACGGGGTTATCCGTGAGAGGGGAAACGATATTCTCTCGATTTTTTTCGTAAAAAATTAGACGACATGTCCCATCAATAAAAATTCGACAAATTTGCAAGCGGCCAATAAAATGAGCGATTTGCGGTGACGTACTCGTCAAGTCGACGTATAAAATATATTGCTGTTTATTTAAATGTTTTTTGTCTGCATTCCTTTCATAGACACAGATCCAGCAGACGTACTGTAGCTTACTGTGATTAATTGGTGCCAATACTCGGTATATTTTGTCTAATCTGCATCAACAAAAGATTGGAAATGTTTACTTAAACACGTTTCTGGTTTAGAAAGGGTAAAGGAGGTACTAAGGCTCAGGCAATTTTCTCATGATCAGATCTTGAACAAGTACATAAGAAACACATTCTCTGTTTGACCAAAATATTGGTCTATCCAGTGAAATTTCCAGCTTGGGAAATATAATAAATTACTAGGATCTAAATCTGGCGTATGCGGAGGCATATGATCTAGCAATTCACACTGTAACTCACTAATGTTCGCATGACAATTGCAGAGATGTCTTCTGCGGATGTGGATATTTTGCTACAAGTTCTGTCTTCAATTTGTCAACTAATGATGCGTAGTATTCTCCTTTAATGGTTTTCTCTTTTTGAACATAAAATCCATAACTTTTCCAGAACTTCTATGGAGTAATTTCCTGTTTAGTAGTCTATTGTTTTTATTCTTTTTTTTTGTTTCGGGTATTTAATATTATAATGATTAATTGGGGCCAAACCTCGGTATATTTTCTCTAATCTGCATCAACAAAAGATTGGAAATGTTCATTTAAACACATTTCTGGTTCAGAAAGGGTAAAGGAGGTACTAAGGCTCAGGCAATTTTCTCATGATCAGATTTTAAACGAGTGCATAAGAAACGCATTCTCTGGATATGCTCATGGTCTCTGATATCTTTCTTAGGTACCTATTTTGATCCTACGGTTGTCTAGCATTGTTTGGTAAACTTGAGGAATATTATCACCAGAGCATGCTCTGAAGATTCTTCAACTCCGGTACTGCCATACTTTCAAATTCAGCTGCCTAAAATTTGAAAAATGGTGCAACTGTATCTCGAGTAACTGAAGGATCTATCAAACAACACCAAACATCAAAAACGATTGAAGTTTTACTAGAAGTCTTTCAAGAAATGCGCAAAAATTTTGATGATTTTTTCTTGGATGAATGTTACTAGTAGATATAGATGAGAGGTCTGACACTTCTCAAAGTACCCTCGTATACATTTTTTATTGACAATGGAGGGATTTTTTCTTAATTTTTCCAGCCAATCTTCACAAAACTGTATCCTATCAAAGTAAACATGAAGTAGGAGTTTTTTGACGTTTTTAGTATTATAATATTTCTAATTTTTCTTTTTTAGTGCCCTGTAACAGCCAGTTTTAGATTTTTCTATTACATATTTGATGATTTTTCCTCTTCTATTGGGTTGTAGATGTCCATTTTAAATTCCTTAGTTAATATGAAGTCGTTTCTTGCTTTCTTTTCATGAAAGTCATTTAGGTAGGTAACCTTCAAGCAAAAGTTGGTCATCGGTGGACTTTCTAGGAACTATAGACGGTTTTGATCTGCACGTGAAAATTGTCTACAACTTCTCGATACCACATTCCACTTAGGAGGTTAAAAAGCATTTCAACGCATTCAGTCAAAAGTTATAAATAGACATAATTCATGAAATATCCACATGAGTTTTATAAATACACGAATGTCTAGAGTTGAGTCATTATTTCATTAATGATTTAAAACAAATTTTGAGTATATTTTGGGCCATTTCTTTAAGCTAGAATGAATTTTGTTTGTACTTCATGTCTTGATTCAACCATTCCAAAAATTTT